AAGTCGGACCCCATCGTAACTCGGGGACTACCTGTATTCATCATTTATTCTGTCTGGGTCAGAGGTCGCAAACGGGTTTTGTTTCCTTACCCGTACCCGGCCGCACCAGGGTCGCAAACGGGTACCCGTTCCCTACCCGTACCCGTACCCGAAATGAGTGACAAACAGTGACTCACCGGTGACTCACGGCCTACCCGTACCCGTATCCGGCCGCACCAGGGTCGCAAACAGGTACCCGTTCCCTACCCGTACCCTGCCCGAAATGAGTGACAAGCGGTGACTCACCGGTGACTCACGGCCTACCGTACCCGTACCCGGCCGCACCAGGGTCGCAAACGGGTACCCGTACCCGTACCCGGCCGGGTACGGGTAGCCGGGTATCGGGTAGGGTACGGGTATCGGGTATCGGGTACCGGTTGCGACCTCTGGTCTGAGTCAGATCGCCACGTGCGTACGATGCCAACGCCGTGTCGTCCGCCCCTCCACCAGGGGCTGGCTCTATAAATAACGTTGCGTGGACAAACGCGCCAGTTTCTTACCGCTGCGGTGCACCGGTGCGTTGGAGGGCGATCCGCACTCGTTGAAACAATCTGGCTCAACGTTCCCGCCGGTGGCTACGCAACCAGCATCCATCGGTGACCGCCTGGAAGGGCTTAGTTCTGGCGATCGCAGCCGATGTTGGGCCATGGCGGGCAAATCGCTGGAGGAACGTTACGATTTGCAGCATTCCTTCGTCATGTATGTACTTGCTGTCCGCAATTTTAGCCGTAATCGCGAATCGCATCCGTAACTCTCTCGGCAAGAGAGAGATTGTGACGTGAGAAAATCGATGAGATGAAGTGGCGAGAGAGAATATGATATTCTTGGTTCTTTCGGTAAGGTCACGTAGAAGGGAAATAATAAAATAATATAAAAATAAATCATCAGATGATTGCTTGTGTTGCAGTCGAAACGTCGTGAGAATTTTTATTGTTCTATATATTTTATTTTATTATTTCCCTTCTACGTGACGATGATTGCTTGTGTTGCAGTCGAAACGTCGTGAGAATTTTTATTGTTTTATTTTTATATTATTTTATTATTTTCCTTCTACGTGACTTTACCGAAAGAACCAAGAATATGAATCCCTGCAGTCACGAAAGCTTTAAATAAAAAAAGAGAATATGACGTGAGAAAATCGATGAGAGATAAAGTTATGGTGCGTAACATCATCATCATTTAAGGTAAGTTCATTCATCAAGTATTATGTAATACTTTAATATTCAATTTGATTTCCTTACCGTTTATTACAACCAATGTTTTGGTTGCGTTATGATAATTTCACGTATTTAACTGCTAATTAACGTATTTATTTAGGGTAATTCATTAAAAGCATAGGTTTTCGCAGGCCAATATTATCGACCAAGTTTGCTACTAATACACTCACCATCATCATACCCCGGTCAGACTGCAGCAACTCCATCCTACTCGGCCTCGCAGCCCATGCGCTCACTCCACGACAACAGATCGAAAATGCGTCTGCACGCTTCATTCACAAACAACCAAACACTGCTGCCGCATCTCCACCCTTCTTATAGAAACGCACCGAGCTCCCCATCTCAAGCTCCTTACACTCGTATATGGGGCCGTCCATAAATGACGTCACGCGATATTTGGGCGATTTTTGAACGATTTTTGACCACCCCCCCCCCCTCGTCACACGGCGTCACAAAAAGTCAGACCCCCCTCCTCAAATATGACGTCATAAAGCTCTGCCCCCCCAAAACCATATTTCAAATCGCTTTAAACCATTGTCATTGTAGTGCGTATTTAATGTGGCGCTGCACTCTGATGTTGTAGAAGAAAACATGTATTAAAATGTCTATTTAATTAAGTAGAACGTGTTGTCTATATTTATTTAAAGTTGTGCATTTTTATGTGACGTCACATTTCTCAAACCCCCCCCCCCCTCGTCACACACCGTCACAAATGTCTGACCCCCCCCCCCACACCAGTTGCGTGACGTCATTTATGGACGGCCCTTATACAAATCTCGCCACGGCCTTGCCCCACCGTTACCCTATTACATCCCCTTCCCGGCCGCTCCGTTCTCAATCTCTCAGAACTCCTCACCGCCAACCCATCTCTCGCCTTGTGCACAATCATCATCTCTGCTCCTTATCCCCACTCGCCCCCGTTGCACTGGCGCAAACTCCCTGTCGAGTTTCCGCTCCAACCTCACGACCCCCCCCCCTCTCTCCTCCCTGGCCCATCCTTCCCTCCATCCCTGGGTACCCCCCCAGTAATTCCCGTTCCCACTAAACCTCCCTCCCCATGCCCCCAACCCTATTAAGCAAGCAGCCTCTCCCTGTCGAGTTTCTGCTGCTCCGTCAAGACCCCCTTCACCCTGGCCCATCGTTCCCTCCATCCATAGGTAACCCCCCAGTAATTCCCATAACCACTAAACCTCCCTTCCCATATCCCCTCCCGCCCCCATCCCTATTCACCGTATCACCTTTAGCTACCTTCATTGTACCACTCCACGTCTCTTGTAAAGCGCCTTGGGTAAAAGGTGCTGTATAAATATAGGATAAAAGATAACGAAGAAATCCTGCACAGAGGACGGCTGCTTGCGTTGTGGCGGAAATGTCGTTAAAATTGTATTTTATTATGTTTACATTTTATTATGTTTACATTTTATTATTTTATTATTTCCCTTCTACGTGACTTTACCGAAAGAACCAAGAAGATAAATTCTGCACTCTAGTTTGGGTTTCCTGCCTGAAGCCACGTGATGGGAATGGCGTGGCCGGGAATCGAACCCAGTTAGCCACGTTCGAAGCACAGTGTTCTCATACTCTTAGGTTTTTTCGGTAAAAGTCACGTAGGTAAAAAAATAAAATTAAAATTAATAAAAGTAATAATAGAAGTAAAATAATAAAAATCACGACGTTTCGGAGGCAACACAAGTCTCCGTCATCAGGTGTCACTTGATACAGTAAATCTGGCTGTGACGGTCCCACCTGATGACGAAGACTTGTGTTGCCTCCGAAACGTCGTGATTTTTATTATTTTATTTTTATTATTACTTTTATTAATTTAAATTTTTTTACCTACGTGACTTTATCGAAAAAACCTAAGAGTATGAATCCTTGCAGTCACGAAAGCTTCAAATCCACAGTGTTATCACCACTGCGCCACCACTCCCCTACTATACAGTATAAAGAAACAGACAAATATCCCCCATATAGCCTCCACAGACTGTCGGGGCAAGCGCTGTCGGCAAGCACCTAAGCCGGCGTGCCCAGCACCACGCCCGGCCGCCCGTGTCTCCTGAGTGGTGACGTTGACACACCGCACTAGGTACTCATCTGAGGCTGAGTCGATCTAGGGGAGGCCCAGGACCAGTCCACATAATTGTCGCCGGCGTTGGGCGTGAGCAGGATTCGAACTCGGGTCGCCAGGTTTGTAGCGTGGCGCTAACTACAGCACCACCGCTCCCCTTGCATAAAAACAGCACGTCCGCACACACAGGCTGAAACAACAACACAAGCAAACACAAGCTGATGTGTTCAGCTAAAGCAGCAGCAGCAGCTGTTAGGGTCACACGGTGTCATGTGAGGGGCCGTCCATTTAGTAGGTACGCAAAAATCTGTCAAAACTCCCCCCTTCCTTACACCCCCCCCCCACCACCTGCGAACGTACGCCTGACGCACCCCCCCCCCCCGAATCCTATAGAACGGCCGATATTTAATCCACGCAGAAACGATCAAGGATTCATAATATTGACGTGTTTAAGCAAACAGATAGTCCACCGCCGGACTATGCAACTCATTTGAAGGCCAATGTAGACAAATTATTATCGAGGCTTCACTCCCCACCCCCCCGTTTCCTATGCGTACATTGTCAGTAGACCCCCCCATACGCAAGTGTACGCATTTGGGTTAACCCCCCCTCCCCTCCATGTGTACGTACTAATTGGATGGCCCCTGATTCTCATGTGGTCACATCATCGTGGTCGCCTTCTCATCGACCACGATGCCATCTCTAAAGGTGCAACAACAACAGGCAGGGGGCAACGTCACAAGAGGAAGAACATCTCACAACATCGGGAGAGGGGAGAGCTACGTGTAAACACGTTGTCTTCAGTGGCGGATTACGATTATTGTTATTCCTAAGCAGTGCCGGATCAAGCTCGTGCGGTGCCGCCTGTATTTTTTGTTATAAAGGGGCGTTAAATAAAAAAACCCACGTAAATATTAAAACGCACATTTTTTAAATTGCATAGTAAAGCAATTGTATTTTTTCATTTGCTACACAGCCAGATCATACGACAAATCGCTAACCTTAAACACCCAGTCGTTCATAAAAGTTAAAGGCAGTATAGTACTATAGCAATAGAGCAAGGGCAGAATCACTGAACCGTCATTGATAGCTTGAAAGCGTTTAGCGCGGGGCCCTTGAAAGTGCGCGGCCCGTAGCATTTGTAGCCACTTTTGCTACGAGGATAATCCGGCACTGTTCCTATGCCACTGTCAAAAAAACTGGACTTTTTAAGCCAGGACAAGTGGCGACCCTACCCAGCGCACTGACCCTATGGCGGGGCCGGTGGCGGAGTGTGGTTGGCATGGCCCCTCGTAGTGCGAGGAATTAAACGATGGGCACCCCCCCCCGCCCCGTCCCGTTTCCTTTCTTTGTATCCCAATGCTTGGGGCCCGTTCCAGCATCGTGGGCTCCCCCGTGCAGTAGCATCGCTTGCCCCACGGCTACTCGACAGCCACACCACTCAGCGGGGCAGGCGCCCGCACAAACAGCGGCACGCGTGGTGCACGCTCCGCAAAGCCCCAGGACACGCGCACTGCGCGCGTCGCTACGACCTCGTTCGTGACGTTTTCTTGCCGGCCGCTTGACGTTTCCTTTTGGTGGCTTTCGCGCACGCACCCTTGGGCGGCCTTGCGAGCCGTTAATCCGCCGCGCATAGGCGTCGCATCTTAACGGGAGTCTCAACTGTGTTTTGTTGTCTTCGCGATGGCAGACCCACCGATTCGTCTTTGCCTCCGCCACGGTGACACTCGACCACCGCTCCCCCTCACCGTGTCCCGCGCCGGCGGTGTGGTCAACGCGGCGCGCTCTGGCCGTCGCTCGGGGTGGGGAGGCCATCACGCGCTGGTCTCGCCCACCGTGCCATTGTTGCCGGGCACCTGCTGCAGCCGGATCGCGGCGTCCGCCTGCTCGCCGTTGTCGAGCCGCGTGGGGCTGTAGCCGCGTCGGCTGCCGTCGCCGCCGCCGCAGCACACGAGCAGGCACACGGCCGCGACGGCCACCACCAGCAGCGTGGCCAGAACGCCCGCCGCCACAGTCGCGCTGCCCGCGCTCGCCACCACGCCCGCCAAAGCCACCGTGCGGTTGGCCACGAGGCGCCGGTGGCCGCCCTCCTCGGCCCAGCACAGGTACGTGCCCGTGAGATCCTGGGGGGCCGGGGGGGCGCCCTGGCGGAGCAGCAGCCCCGCCTCGGGCGGGGGCAGCGGCTGCCCCGGGGCCGGGCCCGAGTCTCGCTCCCAGGAGAGGCGCGCCAGGCGGGAGGGGGGAGAGCAGGGCAGCAGCAGCACCGGCGCCAGCGGCACGCGGACGGCCACCACGTCTGCACGCGACGCGGAGACGGCAGTGACGACGGTGAGGACGGGACAGCGGAGACACGGGGAGGGACAGACACGGGGAGGGAGAGACAGCGGAGACACGGGGAGGGAGAGACACAGGGAGGGAGAGACACAGGGAGGGAGAGACACGGGGAGGGAGAGACACGGGGAGGGAGAGACACTGGGAGGGAGAGACACGGGGAGGGAGAGACACGGGGAGGTAGAGACATGGGGAGGGAGAGACACGGGGAGGGAGACACACAGGGAGGGAGAGACACGGGGAGGGAGAGACACGGGGAGGGAGAGACACGGGGAGGTAGAGACATGGGGAGGTAGAGACACGGGGAGGGAGACACACAGGGAGGGAGAGACACGGGGAGGGAGAGACACGGGGAGGGAGAGACACGGGGAGGGAGAGACACGGGGAGGGAGAGACACGGGGAGGGAGAGACATGGGGAGGGAGAGACACGGGGAGGGAGAGACACGGGGAGGGAGAGACAGCGGAGACACGGGGAGGGAGAGACACGGGGAGGGAGAGACACGGGGAGGTAGAGACATGGGGAGGTAGAGACACGGGGAGGGAGACACACGGGGAGGGAGAGACACGGGGAGGGAGAGACACGGGGAGGGAGAGACACGGGGAGGGAGAGACACGGGGAGGGAGAGACATGGGGAGGGAGAGACACGGGGAGGGAGAGACAGCGGAGACACGGGGCGGGAGAGACACGGGGAGGGAGAGACACGGGGAGGGAGAGACACGGGGAGGAAGAGACACAGGGAGGGAGAGACACAGGGAGGGAGAGAGACGGGGAGGGAGAGACAGCGGAGACACGGGGAGGGAGAGACACAGGGAGGGAGAGACACAGGGAGGGAGAGACACGGGGAGGGAGAGACACGGGGAGGGAGAGACACGGGGAGGGAGAGACACAGGGAGGGAGAGACACAGGGAGGGAGAGACACGGGGAGGGAGAGACAGCGGAGACACGGGGAGGAGAGACACGGGAGGGAGAGACACGTAGGGAGAGGACACGGGAGAGGGAGAGACACGGGGAGGGAGAGACACGGGGAGGGAGAAGACACGGGAGAGGGAGAGACACGGGGAGGGAGAGACACGGAGAGGGAGAGACACTGGGAGGGACGAGGACACGGGGAGGGAGAGACTCGTAGGAGGGAGAGCACGACGTGGAGAGGGAGAGACACGGGAGGGAGAGACACGGGTGAGGGAGAGACATCGGGGAGGGAAGGACACGGGGAGGGAGAGGACACGGGGAGGGAGAGACACGGGGAGGGAGAGATACACGGGGAGGGGAGAGACACGGGGCAGGGAGAGACGGCGAAGGGAGGAGACACGGGGAGGGAGAGACACGGGGAGGGAGAGACCGGGGAGGGAGAGACTCGGGAGAGGGAGAGACACGGGGAGGGAGAGACACGGGGAGGGAGAGACACGGGGAGGAGAGACACGGGATGGGAGAGACACGGGAAGGGAGAGACACGGGGAGGAGAGAGACACGGGGAGGAGAGACACTGGGAGTGGAGACCACGGGGAGGCGAGAGGAGAGACACGGTGAGGGACCGAGACACCGGGGAGGGAGAGACACGGGGAGGAGAGACACGGGGAGGGAGAGACACGGGAGGAGAGACACGGGGAGGGAGAGACACGGGGAGGGAGAGACACGGGGAGGGAGAGACACGGGGAGGGAGAGACACGGGGAGGGAGAGACACGGGAGGGAGAGACACGGGGAGGGAGAGACACGGGGAGGGAGAGACACGGGGAGGGAGAGACACGGGAGGGAGAGACACGGGACGGAGAGACACGGGGACTGAGAGACACGGGACTGAGAGACACGGGGAGGGAGAGACACGGGGAGGGAGAGACACGGGGAGGGAGAGACACGGGGAGGGAGAGACACGGGGAGGGAGAGACACGGAGAGGGAGAGACACGGGAGGGAGAGACACGGGGAGGGAGAGACACGGGGAGGGAGAGACACGGGGAGGGAGAGACACGGGGAGGGAGAGACACGGAGAGGGAGAGACACGGGGAGGGAGAGACACGGGGAGGGAGAGACACGGGGAGGGAGAGACACGGGGAGGGAGAGACACGGGGAGGGAGAGACACGGGGAGGGAGAGACACGGGGAGGGAGAGACACGGGGAGGGAGAGACACGGGGAGGGAGAGACACGGGACGGAGAGACACGGGGAGGGAGAGACACGGGACGGAGAGACACGGGGAGGGAGAGACACGGGGAGGGAGAGACACGGGGAGGGAGAGACACGGGGAGGGAGAGACACGGGGAGGGAGAGACACGGGAGAGGGAGAGACACGGAGAGGGAGAGACACGGAGAGGGAGAGACACGGGGAGGGAGAGACACGGGGAGGGAGAGACACGGGGAGGGAGAGACACGGGGAGGGAGAGACACGGGGAGGGAGAGACACGGGGAGGGAGAGACACGGGGAGGGAGAGACACGGGGAGGGAGAGACACGGGGAGGGAGAGACACGGGGAGGGAGAGACACGGGGAGGGAGAGACTCGGAGAGGGAGAGACACGGGGAGGGAGAGACACGGGGAGGGAGAGACACGGGGAGGGAGAGACACGGGGAGGGAGAGACACGGAGAGGGAGAGACACGGGGAGGGAGAGACACGGGGAGGGAGAGGACACGGGGAGGGAGAGACACGGGGAGGGAGAGACACGGCGAGGGAGAGACACGGGGAGGGAGAGACACGGAGAGGGAGAGACACGGGGAGGGAGAGACAGCGGAGACACGGGGAGGGAGAGACACGGGGAGGGAGAGACACGGGGAGGTAGAGACATGGGGAGGTAGAGACACGGGGAGGGAGACACACAGGGAGGGAGAGACACGGGGAGGGAGAGACACGGGGAGGGAGAGACACGGGGAGGGAGAGACACGGTGAGGGAGAGACACGGGGAGGGAGAGACACGGGGAGGGAGAGACACGGGGAGGGAGAGACACGGGGAGGGAGAGACACGGAGAGGGAGAGACACGGAGAGGGAGAGACACGGGGAGGGAGAGACACGGGGAGGGAGAGACACGGGGAGGGAGAGACACGGTGAGGGAGAGACACGGGGAGGGAGAGACACGGGGAGGGAGAGACACGGGGAGGGAGAGACACGGGGAGGGAGAGACACGGGGAGGGAGAGACACGGGGAGGGAGAGACACGGGGAGGGAGAGACACGGGGAGGGAGAGACACGGGGAGGGAGAGACACGGGGAGGGAGAGACTCGGAGAGGGAGAGACACGGGAGGGAGAGACACGGGGAGGGAGAGACACGGAGAGGGAGAGACACGGAGAGGGAGAGACACGGGGAGGGAGAGACACGGGTAGGGAGAGACACGGGGAGGGAGAGACACGGGGAGGGAGAGACACGGAGAGGGAGAGACACGGGGAGGGAGAGACACGGGGAGGGAGAGACACGGGGAGGGAGAGACACGGGGAGGGAGAGACACGGGGAGGGAGAGACACGGAGAGGGAGAGACACGGGGAGGGAGAGACAGCGGAGACACGGGGAGGGAGAGACACGGGGAGGGAGAGACACGGGGAGGTAGAGACATGGGGAGGTAGAGACACGGGGAGAGAGACACACAGGGAGGGAGAGACACGGGGAGGGAGAGACACGGGGAGGGAGAGACACGGGGAGGGAGAGACACGGTGAGGGAGAGACACGGGGAGGGAGAGACACGGGGAGGGAGAGACACGGGGAGGGAGAGACACGGGGAGGGAGAGACAGCGGAGACACGGGGAGGGAGAGACACGGGGAGGGAGAGACACGGGGAGGTAGAAACAAGGGGAGGTAGAGACACGGGGAGGGAGACACACGGGGAGGGAGAGACACGGGGAGGGAGAGACACGGGGAGGGAGAGACACGGTGAGGGAAAGACACGGGGAGGGAGAGACACGGGGAGGGAGAGACACAGGGAGGGAGAGACACGGGGAGGGAGAGACACGGGGAGGGAGAGACACGGGGAGGGAGAGACACGGGGAGGGAGAGACACGGGGAGGTAGAAACACGGGGAGGTAGAGACATGGGGAGGTAGAGACACAGGGAGGGAGAGACACGGGGAGGGAGAGACACGGGGAGGGAGAGACACGGTGAGGGAGAGACACGGGGAGGGAGAGACACGGGGAGGTAGAGACACGGGGAGGGAGAGACACGGGGAGGGAGAGACACGGGGAGGGAGAGACACGGGGAGGACGAGACACGGGGAGGGAGAGACACGGGGAGGGAGAGACACGGGGAGGGAGAGACACGGGGAGGGAGAGGCAGCGGAGACGTGGTGGTTGTGGGGGAGGTGAGGCTGGAGACGGAGTGCGGCGCGGCGAGCACCGACCTGGCGGGTGAGCGGAGCAGAGCGTCGTCGCGTCCCCACCTCTCACGTCCTGCAGCCACGACCTGTGGGGAGGAGCACGGGGGGACGGTGGGGGGAGCAGTGGTGTAAGGGAATGTACACATGTGTGCGAATGTGTGTCTAAGCGGTGGTGCAGCTGTGAAAACCCCGCACTACAAACCCCATTCAATTCCCACGTACGGCCAACACCATTGACGATTATCTCAACCGGTCCTGGGCCTCCCCCATGGTCGACTGAGGTGTCAGGCTACATGCAGGAGAGTGTGTTTGTTGGTGTGTGGAATATGTCCGCTCTTCCCCTGTCCTGCATGGGGTTTCTCCAGGTTCTCCGGTATCCCCCCCCCCCATAGATGAACTCACAGCGCGCACACAGCACTTGCCTCAACAGCCTGCGAAGGCTACGGGGGGGGGGGGATCTTTGTCTTTGTGCGATTGCCTCCCCGCTCACCCGGTGCCGGTCTCCCCGCCGTGACGCCTGCACAGCCTCCGCTGGGGGTCCCAGGCGCAGCAGGGATCCCGCGCCAGCACGCAGTCCCAGCAGGCGCCGTAGCGGCCACAGCGGCACACGGGCAGCTGCACCACCCCCGCGGGGCCGGCCACAACCACCGAGGTCTGTGCCGCACGTACACACCGCACGGGACCGCACACGCACCGCACACGCACCGCACACGCACCGCACGTACACACCGCACACGCACCGCACGTACACACCGCACGGCGCATACACACCGCACACGCACCGCACACGCACCGCACGTACACACCGCACACGCACCGCACGTACACACCGCACGGCGCGTACACACCGCACACGCACCGCACACGCACCGCACACGCACCGCACGTACACACCGCACACGCACCGCACACGCACCGCACACGCACCGCACGTACACACCGCACACGCACCGCACACGCACCGCACACGCACCGCACGTACACACCGCACGGGACCGCACACGCACCGCACACGCACCGCACGTACACACCGCACGGCACCGCACACGCACCGCACACGCACCGCACACGCACCACACACGCACCGCACACGCACCGCACACGCACCGCACGTACACACCGCACGGGACCGCACACGCACCGCACACGCACCGCACACGCACCACACACGCACCGCACACGCACCGCACACGCACCGCACACGCACCGCACGTACACACCGCACGGGACCGCACACGCACCGCACACGCACCGCACACGCACCGCACGTACACACCGCACGGGACCGCACACGCACCGCACACGCACCGCACACGCACCACACACGCACCACACCGCACACGCACCACACACGCACCACACACGCACCGCACACGCACCGCACACGCACCGCACGTACACACCGCACGGCGCGTACACACCGCACACGCACCGCACACGCACCGCACGTACACACCGCACGGCGCATACACACCGCACACGCACCGCACACGCACCGCACACGCACCGCACGTACACACCGCACGTACACACCGCACGTACACACCGCACGTACACACCGCACGTACACACCGCACGTACACACCGCACGTACACACCGCACGGGACCGCACACGCACCGCACACGCACCGCACACGCACCGCACGTACACACCGCTCGTACACACCGCACGCACACACCGCACACGCACCGCACACGCGTTCAGCGCTCGGCAACACCAATAAACGCCACCAGTCGGCACGCAGAGACAGTGAGCGCGGCGCCACAGTCGTAGCGAGAGCTTCAGACTAGCAGCGAGTGCACCGCTCTAGTGGGCGAGTGCACCGCACCCGTTGCGAGTAGTGAGGTGCGCCGCACTGGGAGGGGTCACCTGGTCGTGGGTCAGCACCATGGACAGCACCGGCTCGTGCTGCCCCAGCGCCTGCAGCTCCTCCACCAGGTGAGGAGCTCCGCGCGACTCCGGCAGCACGGCGCGGTGCAGCGCGCCCGTGTCTGGGGGGGGCGGCCGAGACGCAGCACAGACACACGCGCCGATTCAGGGGCTGGGGCCCAACACTGGGAAATCAGGGGTGTGTGGGAGTCTCTGTGCGTTGGGGGTCTCCGTGTGATGGGGGTCTCCGTGTGTGGGAGTCTCCGTGTATGGGAGTCTCCGTGTGTTGGGGGTCTCTGTGTGTGGGGGTCTCTGTGTGTGGGGGTCTCTGTGTGTTGGGGGTCTCCGTGTGTTGGGGGTCGCTGTGTGTGGGGGTCTCTGTGTGTGGGGGTCTCTGTGTGTTGGGGGTCTCCGTGTGTGGGAGTCTCCGTGTGTGGGAGTCTCCGTGTGTGGGAGTCTCCGTGTGTGGGAGTCTCCGTGTGTGGGAGTTCCGTGTGTGGGGGTCTCTGTGTGTGGGGGTCTGTGTGTGTGGGGGTCTCCGTGTGTGGGGGTCTCCGTGTGTTGGGGGTCTCCGTGTGTTGGGGGTCTCCGTGTGTTGGGGTCTCCGTGTGTTGGGGTCTCCGTGTGTGGGGGTCTCCGTGTGTGGGGGGTCTCCGTGTGTTGGGGTCTCCGTGTGTTGGGGTCTCCGTGTGTTGGGGTCTCCGTGTGTGGGGGTCTCCGTGTGTTGGGGGTCTCCGTGTGTGGGGATCTCTGTGTGTGGGGGTCTCCGTGTGTTGGGGGTCTCTGTGTGTTGGGGGTCTCCGTGTGTAGAGGTCTCTGTGTGTGGGGGTCTCCGTGTGTTGGGGGTCTCTGTGTGTTGGGGGTCTCCGTGTGTTGGGGGTCTCTGTGTGTTGGGGGTCTCCGTGTGTTGGGGGTCTCCGTGTGTTGGGGGTCTCCGTGTGTTGGGGGTCTCTGTGTGTTGGGGGTCTCTGTGTGTTGGGGGTCTCCGTGTGTGGGGGTCTCCGTGTGTGGGGGTCTGTGTGTGTGGGGGTCTCCGTGTGTGGGGGTCTCCGTGTGTTGGGGGTCTCCGTGTGTTGGGGGTCTCCGTGTGTTGGGGTCTCCGTGTGTTGGGGTCTCCGTGTGTGGGGGTCTCCGTGTGTGGGGGTCTCCGTGTGTGGGGGTCTCCGTGTGTTGGGGTCTCCGTGTGTTGGGGTCTCCGTGTGTTGGGGTCTCCGTGTGTGGGGGTCTCTGTGTGTTGGGGGTCTCCGTGTGTGGGGATCTCTGTGTGTGGGGGTCTCCGTGTGTTGGGGGTCTCTGTGTGTTGGGGGTCTCCGTGTGTAGAGGTCTCTGTGTGTGGGGGTCTCCGTGTGTTGGGGGTCTCTGTGTGTTGGGGGTCTCCGTGTGTTGGGGGTCTCCGTGTGTTGGGGGTCTCCGTGTGTTGGGGGTCTCCGTGTGTGGGGGTCTCCGTGTGTTGGGGGTCTCCGTGTGTTGGGGGTCTCTGTGTGTTGGGGGTCTCTGTGTGTTGGGGGTCTCCGTGTGTTGGGGGTCTCTGTGTGTGGGGGTCTCTGTGTGTGGGGGTCTCTGTGTGTGGGGGTCTCCGTGTGTGGGGGTCTCCATGTGTTGGGGGTCTCTGTGTGTTGGGGGTCTCTGTGTTTTGGGGGTCTCCGTGTGTGGGGGTCTCCATGTGTTGGGGGTCTCTGTGTGTTGGGGGTCTCCGTGTGTGGGGGTCTCCGTGTGTTGGGGGTCTCTGTGTTTTGGGGGTCTCCGTGTGTGGGGGTCTCCGTGTGTTGGGGGTCTCTGTGTGTTGGGGGTCTCCGTGTGTTGGGGGTCTCCGTGTGTGGGGGTCTCCGTGTGTGGGGGTCTCTGTGTGTTGGGGGTCTCTGTGTGTGGAGGTCTCTGTGTGTGGGGGTCTCCGTGTGTGGGAGTCTCCGTGTGTTGGGGGTCTCTGTGTGTTGGGGGTCTCTGTGTGTGGGGGTCTCCGTGTGTGGGGGTCTCTGTGTGTGGGGGTCTCTGTGTGTGGGGGTCTCTGTGTGTTGGGGGTCTCTGTGTGTGGGAGTCTCCGTGTGTTGGGGTCTCTGTGTGTTGGGGGTCTCTGTGTGTGGGGGTCTCCGTGTGTGGGGGTCTCTGTGTGTGGGGGTCTCCGTGTGTTGGGGGTCTCCGTGTGTTGGGGGTCTCCGTGTGTTGGGGGTCTCCATGTGTTGGGGGTCTCCATGTGTGGGGGTCTCCGTGTGTGGGGGTCTCTGTGTTGGGGGTCTCTGTGTGTTGGGGGTCTCCGTGTGTGGGGGTCTCCGTGCGTTGGGAGTCTCTGTGTGTGGGGGGTCTCTGTGTGTTGGGGGTCTCCGTGTGTTGGGGCCCCCCCACCTGTGCCCAGCAGCAGCGTCCTCCAGCTCGTGCCGTTCAGCGCCGCCACGTCGACCACCAGCAGGCGGCTGTAGGCCACTCCCGGCACCAGCAGCCAGGGCCGGCCCCCCTCGGCCTTCACCGCCTCGTCCATCAGGGGATGGTCGGAGATGAAGTTGAGCGTCTCGGAGGGCAGCGTCTGCGAGTCCCAGCCCAGGGGGCACTGCGAGGGGGGGAGGGGGGAGCGGAGGGGGGAGTGGAGGGCCGCGTGTCCTAGCGAGGACTGGAGTCCGCACCGCGCGCGTACTACGAGTGCTGCAGCGAGCGTCACGTGTACCGTGGAGTGTACCGTGACGTGTACCGTGGCGTGTACCATGACGTGTACCGTGGCGTGTCCACGTGGCATGTACGGTGACGTGTACTGTGTCATGTACCGTGACGTGTACGGTGGCGTGTACTGTCACGTGTACCGTGGAGTGTACCGTGACGTGTACGGTGACGTGTACTGTGACGTGTACCGTGGAGTGTACCGTGACGTGTACACGTGACGTGTACGGTGGCATGTACCGTGGAGTGTACCGTGACGTGTACGGTGACGTGTACTGTGGCGTGCGCTGTCGGTACGCACGTGTCCGGGTCGTCGTGCGGGCAGGGCCCCGGCGTAGGGGGCCCACCGCTGGTCGGCCCCTCCCTGGTGCTTGAAGCGTCCGGAGAAGACGCGCTGCACCTCGTCCATGCGGTACGAGCAGACGGCCGAGACGGCGCCGCCGCCCCTGCAAGGACACCCACAGCGGCACGTGTCAGAGCCCATGACGACCACGCGTCGGTACCCATAGGAACAACGTATCGGTACCCACAGCAACCACGCGTCGGTACCCACAGCGCCCACACGTCGGTTATCCATAGCAACCATGCATCGGTACCCATAGCGACCACGCGTCGGTACCCATACTAACCACGCATCGGTACCCATAGCAACCACGCGTCGGTACCCATACCAACCACGCATCGGTACCCATAGCGACCACGCGTCGGTACCCACAGCACACAAAGATAAAGATCCCCCTCATAACCTTCACAGACCGCGAGCGCCTATGAAGGTGCAGCGTCAGTGCGCCGACCTGGCGGCTGTCAGGACTGATCGCCGATGGCAAAACAGCAGCACACGGTCCAAGTGCGTGCTAGTGACCACAAGCGGGAGAAGAACTGGGCCAAGGATCAACGAGGGGGTCGATCGGGAAGCTCCCAGAACCCGCGAGAGACTTTGCGGAGAGGGGCGTGGATGCGCCAAGGGGCTATAAGGGAGAGCGGAACGGGGTTCCGGGCGCGCGGGGAATTCGGGGTCGTCGTCCTCGTCGGCGCTGTGTAGTTGCCTCACGATATAGTTAGCATCGTCATCAGTCGCTATATAGTCTACCAGCTGTCTAGTCAGACATCGCCACGTCGCTGTAGAGTCAGCCAGCTAGATAGCCAGTCAGAGATAGGTTTTAGTGACCGCGTCATAAAAAGTCGTAACAGGATTTCAACGAGAAATAGATGAAAAGCCCTCCGACAGTCAGTGTCCGAAGTCGACACGTTACACAAGTAAGCGTGGCACGCGATGGGCTCGGTGGCCAGCACCACGCCCGGCCGGCTTTGTCCCCCGAATTCCGATGTTTACACACCGTACCAGGTATTCATTTGAGGCTGGTTCGACCTAGAGGAGACCCAGGACCGGTCCAGATATTCGTCACCGATGTTGCCCGTGAGCCAGAATCCAACTTGGGTCGCGGATTTGCAAATATGTGCGTGGCGAGGGAGGTGGTGAGTTGTCGCATGTTGCGAGCGTGTAGGCGGCCGGGCGGGCGGGCGGTCGGACAGACGGACAGACGGGCAAGGCAACCGACGAACGGATGGCGCCAACGCGTCGTCGCTTTCAACCGTGGCGCGTCGTACACGGCAGTGGAGGTGAAGGCGGCGTAGAATGTGATGTTGCGCCAGCCCTCCTTCGGTCGCAGCACGAACACGTCGCGAACCGACGGGAAGAAGAGGTTCTCCCCGGGCACCGAGCACGGGAGCAGCGCCTTCACGAACGACGTCCACTTCCTCTGGAGGAAACTCTGCCCACCGCGGTCTCCCTGTGGCGGGGCGGGGAGGGGCGGCCGTGCAGGTCAAAGGGCACCGTTGCGGACGAAGAGACACACCGGGGCAACGCAAACGGGCCACGCGGAGCACTTTAAAGGCCTGTCTCCGTATGTCCACGTGTCCCCCCGGCTCCCTGGGTTCCCATCTGCCCGCATCCCGCCGTGTCTCCCCGTTTCCCCCTGGCCCAGTCTTCACGTATCGCTGTGCACCCCATGTATGGTGAACTTCTTATCGCACCGTACGTGGCCAACCGTGCCAGTCGGAGGTGCGGAGCAAGGACAACAAACTAAACACACAATGTAGTTTCTAAAGAAATGAGTTTGTCAATCTAGATGATGATGATGATTTAAAAAGTGCGCAGCTCACAGCGGCTTCCTAACTTCGGCAAGGAAGAGCATTCCAGACGGCCGCAAAAGCGCATCTGAAAGCGCGCCAAGCGGTGACCGTCCTTGGCATGCCAAAAGCCACTGCGTGGATGACTGCAGTTCCCCGTGTCCCCTTCCACCACGTCGCTGTCTTCCCATCTCCTCGTCTCTCCGTCTTCCCATATCCCTGTGCCCCCTGTCCGCTCGTGTCCCCCCCCCCACCCCCCACCCCCCACTGTGTCCGCACCGTGCATACGCGCGCCACCCTGGGCACGGCCACTTTGCTGGAGTAAAAGTCGAACTCCTGCGCCGCCTCCGTGAAGAAGAGGTAAACCTTGTCGTCCTCGTCTCCGCCCTCCTCGCTCTCCGCCACATGCTCCGCCGCCGCAAACTCGGGCTCTGTGGGGGGGGGGGTGGGAGGAGTAGGTGGGGAGCGAGGGGGGAGGGGCAGGTGGGCCCGGGGAGGAGCAGGAGGAGGGTGAGCGAGAGCAGGAGTTGAGTGTTCTCCATACGGTGGCACTCTGCCGCATTGGGCCCGTGTTGTTGTTTGTTGTTGCTGTTGCCGTTGTCAGCCGGTCACTTCCCACTGCTGGGCAAAAGCCTCCTCCCACTCCTCCCCCCATTTCTTCCATTGCATTCCTTCATTTGCTGCCGCTGCTGCTGCCCAGTAGTGGACTTCGAACTCTTTGATTTCAGGCGAGACGGATCCCAGAACCTAACGCTCTCGGGTCAAGCGAGGTGACGAGAGGGAGGAGGCCGGCGCCTGTTGCAGCCTGCTGGCTTCCCCACCGGTCCTGGCTTTTCCCATCCTCGAGACGCTCTCTGCTTCTCCGCTCACAGCTTCTCCCACTGCTCCCCGGCCTCCGCAGGGACTTACCAGAGAGCCACGAGGACTTGTAGAGGGAGCGCAGGGGGTCGTCGGGGCCCATGTTGCGCATGACGACGGGCTCCGTGCCCAGGAAGTTGTAAAACGTGCCGGAGTAGAGCTTCCCACCTGCAGCTCGCGCACAAGCGCCGCCGCGACAGATGGAGCCGTCACGGTAGCAGGAGCGGGGGGGGGGGGGGGGGGGGGGGGGGGGCACCCGGTGAAGTCTGGTGGCGCCGTGCCACGCTCGATCGTGCAAACGCTCCGGAGGGAACTGGCGGAACGGAGGCCCCCGTCGCAGGAGAGGGTGGTGTGGCTGGCTGGCTGGGTGGCGTGGCGAGGTTGCAAGAAATGTAATCTATGCTTCCTGTCGTTCGCCTAGAGCGTGTTGCTAGATTGCAGGGAGGGGTGAGTGAGGGGTGAGCCGGCGGGTGAGGGGTGAGTGGCGGGTGAGGGGTGAGTGGCAGGTGAGGGGTGAGTGAGGGGTGAGTGGCGGGTGAGGGGTGAGTGGCAGGTGAGGGGTGAGTGAGGGGTGAGCCGGTGGGTGAGGGGCGAGTGGCGGGTGAGTGGCGGGTGAGGGGTGGGTGAGGGGTGAGTGGCGGGTGAGGGGCGATTGGCAGGTGAGGGGTGAGTGACGGGTGAGTGACGGGTGAGGGGCGAGTGGCAGGTGAGGGGTGAGTGAGGGGTGAGTGAGGGGTGAGCCGGTGGGTGAGGGGTGAGTGGCGGGTGAGGGGTGAGTGGCGGGTGAGGGGTGAGTGGCGGGTGAGGGGCGAGCCGGTGGGTAGGGGTGAGTGAGGGGGTGAGTGAGGGGTGAGTGGCAGGGTGAGGGGTGAGTGGGCGGGTGAGGGGCGAGCCGGTGGGTTAGGGGTGAGTGAGGGGTTAGTGGAGGGGTGAGTGGCGGGTGAGGGGTGGGTGAAGGGAGTGAGTGAGCGGGTGAGGGGTGGAGTGTGAGAGGTGGTGAGTGGCGGGTGAGGGGTGAAGTGAGGGGTGAGTGGCGGGGGTGAGGGGTGAGTGAAGGGGTGAGTGGGGCGGGTGAGGGGAGTGAGGAGGGTGGAGTGCGGGGTGAGGGAGGAGGGGTGAGTGAGGGGGGGTGGGAGGGGGAGTGGCGGGTGAGGGGTGAGTGAGGGGTGAAGTGTGGCGGGGTGAGGGGTGAGTGAGGGGTGAGTGGCGGGAGGGGAGGAGGGGTGAGTGGGGGTGATGTGTGATGAGTGGCGGTGAGGGGTGAGTGAGGGGTGAGTGGCGGGTGAGGGGTGAGTGAGGGGTGAGTGGCGGGTGAGGGGTGAGTGAGGGGTGAGTGGCTGGGGTGAAGGGGTGAGTGAGGGTGAGTGGCCGGGTGGAGGGGTGAGTGGGAGGGGTGAGTGGCGGGTGAGGGGGTGAGTGAGGGTGAGTGCGGTGGTGAGTGGCGGGTGAGGGGTGAGTGAGGGGTGAGTGGCGGGTGAGGGGTGAGGAGGGTGAGTGGCGGGTGAGGGGTGAGTGAGGGGTGAGGGCGGGTGAGGGGTGAGTGCGGGTAGGGGTGAGTGAGGTGAGTGGCGGGTGAGGGGCGAGTGAGGTGAGGGGTGAGTGAGGGGTGAGTGAGGGGTGAGTGGCGGGTGAGTGGCGGGGGAGGGGTGAGTGGCGGGTGAGGGGTGAGTGAGGGGTGAGTGGCGGGTGAGGGGTGAGTGGCGGGTTGAGGGGGTGAGTGAGGGGTGAGTGAGGGGTGAACGGTGGGTGAGGGGTGAGTGGCGGGTGAGGGGTGAGTGGCGGGTGAGGGGTGAGTGAGGGGTGAGTGGCGGGTGAGGGGTGAGTGGCGGGTGAGGGGTGAGTGAGGGGTGAGTGGCGGGTGAGGGGTGAGTGGCGGGTGAGTGGCAGGTGAGGGGTGAGTGGCAGGTGAGGGGTGAGTGAGGGGTGAGTGAGGGGTGAGCCGGTGGGTGAGGGGTGAGTGGTGGGTGAGGGGTGAGTGGCGGGTGAGGGGTGAGTGGCGGGTGAGGGGCGAGCCGGTGGGTAGGGGTGAGTGAGGGGTGAGTGAGGGGTGAGTGGCGGGTGAGGGGTGAGTGGCGGGTGAGGGGCGAGCCGGTGGGTAGGGGTGAGTGAGGGGTGAGTGAGGGGTGAGTGAGGGGTGAGTGGCGGGTGAGTGGCGGGTGAGGGGTGAGCCGGTGGGTGAGGGGTGAATGGCGGGTGAGGGGTGAGTGACGGGTGAGTGAGCCGGCGAGTGGCGGGTGAAGGATGAGTGGCGGGTGAGTAGCGGGTGAGGGGTGAGTGAGGGGTGAGTGAGGGGTGAGTGGCGGGTGAGTGAGGGCTGGACGTGCTCACCGGCCATGGTGGAGGCGTAGCGCTGCGAGGGCGAGTAGGGGCACTGGCCCTTCCCGTCCACCAGCTGAGGGCCCCCCCCGCTCACGGCGCTGGTGACCAGCGAGAAGGAGTTCAGATCCTGGTGGACCGGGGGGGGGGGGCATGGGGGGGGGGGGGCATGAGGGGGGAGGAGAGGGCACCACGGGGAGAGAGGGCGGTGAGCATGGAGTTTTCCCATCAAGAAATACCTCAACTTAATGCTACCCCTATCCCCTCCCTTTGACGCTGCTAATCCTGCATAATGCACGGGCATATGACTTTAAACCCCCCGCCAAACCTCCTACGCATTTCACAAGTAGTACTAATCGCATATCTGCATTTCCCATAAATATGCTAAATTCCTCTTGATATGCAAATTATTTTGTCAAGGCGCTCTTCCCCCCTCCATCCCAGCTTAAATAGACGCTCCAAGCCTGGGGTGTGTCATTCAGACTCTGTCTTCTCGACAGACCTGTTCTCCACCTGAGGACGGCTGCTTGCGTTGTGGGTGAAACGTCGTGAGAATTATTTTATTACGTTTTATTTTTATTATTTTATTATTTCCATTCTACGTGACTTTACCGAAAGAACCAAGAAGATGAATCCCTGCAGTCACGAAAGCTTTAATTCAAAATTTGATCAACGACTTCCTGCTTTCATTACACACAAGTTGGGCAACCACCGTTCTGCAAAACGGCCGTGGCCGGTGATACGAGTGACGTCTGACCAGGTCCAGGTCCCCTACCGCCCCTCCCCCCCCCCCCCCCCCCGCCCTTCACCAACCCGCACGAGCCAGAGCATTGTAAGATACGGTCAAAGAATACCCGCGTGACCGGCACGGCGTGGCATGGCAAGGCCTTCGTCCAGCAGTGGATAAATGTGAAGTGAACCGTGGCTGATGCGCGAGGCAGGTCGGGTGGCTGGGGCAACCGTGGAGAGGGGTTGGCCTCTCTCCACCCCCTTCAAAAACATCCCCAAGTGCTGAAAAATGTCCTTGCAAGTTCCCCAATTGGGATCGCACACAGAGGAGGAGCAGCAGTAGCAGCATCATTTATTTTGTTTAACCAAGAAAGTCGACACATATTCGTCGATAACACTGCGTGGCCTTCAAAGAGAAACGTATACAAGAGGTGATTGTTGTGGGTAGGCGGCGTGGCCGGGCGGGCGGGCGAGCACGTACCACGTAAGCGCACATGGGCCGGAAGGCGTAGGTGCCACACACGTACAGGTGCGTGCCGTTGAGCTGGTGCAAGGTGCGCACCACGTTGTAGCAGTCGACGGCCTGCGCGCGCAGCGGAGGACAAAAAGCCGACGGGGCAGCATGGTCACCGGCGGTCGGTGGCCTCCACTCGGCGGCCCCGGCGGGAGCCCCGGAAGCAGCCCCGGCGGCGGCCCCGGTGGCGGAGGAGCGCCGGTTGGCGCACCGGTTGCCGATGATGCAATCGCGGACGACACCGACCGAGCAGGCCCAGCCCTGCAAAGTTCTTGCTTGGTGCCACTTCTGGCAGTAAGGGGCCTCTCGCCCGCTCGAGACCTTTGTCGGCATGTTCGTCCCCACCCAGACAGACGTGTCGGGAGAGACGTGGCTTTACCCCACCACCACTCGTGACGGGCCGGGCAGAGGCGGTGGGGGGAGGAATTAAGAAACTTGCTCCCCCCCCCTCCCCCCATATTGTTTCAAATTCCACGCCATGAGAGATGAAATCTAACCGGCGACCTCTGGATCGCAAGTCCAGCGCGCTGCTGACCATTGTGTCGCTGTGGCAGTGTCCGCGTCCGTGACATCGGTTAGCGGTTTTTCGGTTAACGTTTCACCGCCCCATCGAAGACCCACGGTTTCAACCAACGTAAAATTGTTGACGAGCGGGCAACGTTTCACGTTATGCACGCGGGTGCCAATTTTGGCCAATCCGAGCGCTCGGAAGTGGGGCTGAGCCATGTCCTCAGCCAATCAGCGACGCCCATTTATGAGCGTTTAGACCTCAACTGGATTTGTTAACTAATAGGGGTTTTTTCCCCTTTTTTCTGGCAACAAAACTGATACTTTTTGCAAGGAATCATGTTCACATTAACCACAATACTTGCAGTCAAATGCAAACAAAAAACAATACTCTGATAATTTATGCATTGTCCTTGAAACTGATTGGTCCACACATTTTTGTTTGCATTTGACTGCAAGTATTGTGGTTAATGTAAACATGATTCCTTGCAAAATGTGTCAGTTTTGTTGCCAGAAAAAAGGCGAAAAACCCTATTAGTATATTTTGGTACTGGCAAAGGAGATCCCATGATGGATTTGTTAAGATTGTTTCTATTGCGTTTTCTGTTTTGGCAGTGGAAACAGCCTCTCTTCCAGACTCATGTAATGTCTGTTTTCGATTAACAGTTATTTTGGTTGACTGTAGTTTTCGTGTAACGGATTAAAAACGTCAACCCAGGGAACGACTCAAATGATATTTTCACTCGGTGGAACAGAAACCCCTTGTTGGTGGCGTTTATTATCACAGGAAATGAAATCTCTTCATGTGGTTTCACGATCTGTGGGCAATGTCAGTCTGTGGGCAGTGTTAGTCTGTGGGCAATGTTAGTCTGTGGGCAATAATAGTCTGTGGGCAATGTTAGTTTATGGGCAATGTTAGTCTGTGGGCAATGTTAGTCTGTGGGCAATGTTAGTCTGTGGGCAATGTTAGTCTGTGGGCAATAATAGTCTGTGGGCAATGTTAATCTGTGGGCAATGTTAGTCTTTGGGTAATGTTAGTCTTTGGGTAATGTTAGTCTATCGGCAAGGTTAGTTTCTGGGCAAGGTTAGTCTATGGGTAATGTTAGTCTATGGGCAATGTTAGTCTATGGGCAATGTTAGTCTGTGGGCAATGTGAGTCTATGGGCAATGTTAGTCTGTGGGTAATGTTAGTCTATCGAAAAGGTTAGTTTCTGGGAAATGTTAGTCTATGGGCAATGTGAGTCTATGGGCAATGTCAGTCTGTGGGCAATGTTAGTCCTGTGGGCAATGTTAGTCTGTGGGCAATGTTAGTCTATGGGCAATGCTAGTCTATGGGCAATGTGAGTCTATGGGCAATGCTAGTCTATGGGCAATGTGAGTCTATGGGCAATGTCAGTCTGTGGGCAATGTTAGTCTGTGGGCAATGTTAGTCTGTGGGCAATGTTAGTCTGTGGGCAATGTTAGTCTGTGGGCAATGTTAGTCTGTGGGCAATGTGAGTCTATGGGCAATGTTAATCTATGGGCAATGTTAGTCTGTGGGTAATGTTAGTCTATCGGCAATGTTAGTTTCTGGGCAAGGTTCGTCTATGGGCAATGTTAGTCTGTGGGCAATGTCAGTCTATGGGCAGTGTTAGTCTGTGGGCAATGTTAGTCTATGGGCAATGTTAGTCTATGGGCAATATTAGTCTGTGGGCAATGTTAATCTATGGGCAATATTAGTCTATGGGCAATATTAGTCTGTGGGCAATGTTAGTCTGTAGGCAATGTTAGTCTATCTCTATGTGAGCCAGGTCCTTTCTTAAAGATGTCAGCGACCACGGCCTTCCTTCTATTGAGCTCTGTCCACGACATTTACTCAAGAACTCCGCATTGGATTGCCCTCCCGGTTACACCCAAATCTTGAAATCGCTCACGAAACCCGGCCTCCTTGCGGCGCCTATAACGTGCCCAGTCAAGTGAATGTATGACTCGGGACTCAAAACCACCGTATCTGCAGCTCTGCCCAGTGCCCCAGCGAGCCGGAGTCTGCCCCCCTCGCCCACCCTCCTCGACTGTGCCCGGCGTTGCCGGATCGGTACAACGCTACTGCCGGGTCGCGCGGCGCCGAGACTCACGGCGGCGGGGGAGACCTTGGCCCGGCAGTCATCCTGCGTCTGCTCGTCGGCCTTCCACGTGATCTGTGGAGAGAGAGGATCCACAGGACCAAGCCTTAAAGAGCGAACGTGCCAATGTTGTGCAAACGTTGGGGGCTGACTTTCGCCCAACGTTCCATGTTTACTGGGGGTCTGTGTCTAGAACGGTGTCATATTCTTAGGTTTTTTCGGTAAAGTCACGCGGGAGACGTTGCGTTACCTATGTGACTTTACCGAAAAAACCTAAGAATATGAATCCTTGCAGTCACGAAAGCTTCAAATCTGGAATAGAATGGTGTCCCCTGTCTCCCTCAATCCCCAACCCCCTGGGTCCCCCCCCGTCTCTCTTTGTCCCCCCCCCGTGCCCCGGGTCCCCCAGCTACGGGGGGGGAGGGGGGGTGGGGGGGTCCCCCCCCTAACTCACGGCGGGGTGGAGCTCGCGGGAGACGTTGCGGGCGTCCAGGGCGAGGATGGCGTCGCGCGCAGCCCACGTAGAGCGCCGAGCGCTGCGGCACCAGCAGCAGCGCCGACGCGTCGGGCACGGCGCGGAAACTCATCGCCGCCTCCTGCGCCAGCTCTGCAGGGGTGGGGGGGGGGGGGCAACGGTTTGGTGGGGGGGGGGGATGCGGGGTGGGGTGGGGGGGTGAGAGAGTGAGGCCCTTGCAGTGACAGCAGTAACTGATGGCGCTAGAAATAGAGACGCAGCACCGCAGTCGCACCGAATTCTCTCCTCGAGACGAGCGGGAAGGCGGCCGTCGTTGCTGACATTCGCCCGAGCTCTGCGGTCCTCTCTGTACACGAAGGCGGCGTGGGGCCAATTCGTGACAGCCAGAGCACCCGGGAGAATAACCCATTGCGTTCGACGGGGGCAGCACGCTCCTGTTCGGATGCAAGTGGTGAAGTACACATTCGCTGGACCGCGTCCTCGCGGCGAGCGAGGGCCGTAGCACCTCCGTGCCCACGGGTAGAAAGGAAGGGAGTGTCGCAACATTTCTCCGTGCGAGCCACCAGAAACCCTCGCCGCTGCGTCCACGCTGCAAGGCCGTGGACAGCGCCCCCCTCTAGAGATGGGCGGCACCCACACTTTACCCGACCGCTCACAACCTGCCTCCGAGTGACCCTGCGCACTCATTTCACTATCAATAAATAACTACTGGGTCGTCGTCCTGACGGCGCGGGGGTCGGGGAGGCGTTCTTGCGATTTGTCGCGTGTGTGTTGTGTGTGTCTTTGTGTGCGTATTTGAGTGTGTTTGTGTGTATGTGTGTATTTGTGTATTGTGTGTATTGTGTGTATTTGTGTGTTGTGTGTTTGTGTGTATTTGTTTGTGGGAGAGCGGTGGCGCAGTGGTTAGCTGACTGCGCTACGAACCCGGCGACTCGGGTTCGACTCCCGCTCACGGCCACCAACACCGGTGACGATTATCTGAACCGGTCCTGGGCCTCCCCTAGGTTGACTCAGCCTCAAATGAGTACCTGGTGCGGTGTGCAAACATCGCCACTAGGGAGACAAAGGCGGCCGGGCGTGGTGTTGCCCACCCACCCCCTCGTGTGCTGTGCCGGCCTTCATAGGTGCTGCTCACTAACAGCACTTGCCCCTACAGTCTGTTAAGGCTATACGGGGGATCTTTATCTTTTCATTTTTGTTTGTGTGTGTTTGTTGTAACTTCCCTGACCCGCCCCGAACTGGACATCTGTGAAAAAAAGATCCTCACAGCTAATCGGATTTCTCCTCCTGTCCATCAACGCAGATTCTGTTTGTGAACAAGCTTGCACCATTGTTACAATCTGCCGGGCCGGGAGATAATACTGGGAATGCAAAACAAACCCGCCCCGATATTAACCAAAAAAAAGACCACGTGGGGGTGCGTGCGTGGGGGAGACGTGCAAGACACGGGGGGGGGGTGCGTGGGGACACGTGCAAGACACGGGGGGGGGTGCGTGGGGACACGTGCAAGACACGGGGGGGGGGTGCGTGGGGACACGTGCAAGACACGGGGGGGGGGGTGCGTGGGGACACGTGCAAGACACGGGGGGGGTGCGTGGGGACACGTGCAAGACACGGGGGGGGGGTGCGTGGGGACACGTGCAAGACACGGGGGGGGGGTGCGTGCGTGGGGACACGTGCAAGACACGGGGGGGGGTGCGTGGGGACACGTGCAAGACACGGGGGGTGCGTGGGGGTGCGTGGGGACACGTGCAAGACACGGGGGGGTGCGTGGGGGGTGCGTGGGGACACGTGCAAGACACGGGGGGGGGGTACGTGCAAGACACGGGGGGGGGGGGGTGCGTGGGGACACGTGCAAGACACGGGGGGTGCGTGGGGGGTGCGTGGGGACACGTGCAAGCCACGGGGGGGTGCGTGGGGGTGCGTGGGGACACGTGCAAGACACGGGGGGGTGCGTGGGGGTGCGTGGGGACACGTGCAAGACACGGGGGGGTGCGTGGGGACACGTGCAAGACACGGGGGGGGGTGCGTGGGGGTGCGTGGGGGTGCGTGGGGACACGTGCAAGACACGGGGGGGGTGCGTGGGGGTGCGTGGGGACACGTGCAAGACACGGGGGGGGGTGCGTGGGGGTGCGTGGGGACACGTGCAAGACACGGGGGAGTGCGTGGGGACACGTGCAAGACACGGGGGGGGGGGTGCGTGGGGGTGCGTGGGGGTGCGTGGGGACACGTGCAAGACACGGGGGGGGGTGCGTGGGGTGCGTGGGGACACGTGCAAGGCACGGGGGGGTGCGTGAGGACACGTGCAAGGCACGGGGGGGTGCGTGGGGGTGCGTGGGGACACGTGCAAGGCACGGGGGGGTGCGTGGGGGTGCGTGAGGACACGTGCAAGGCACGGGGGGGTGCGTGGGGGTGCGTGGGGACACGTGCAAGGCACGGGGGGGTGCGTGGGGGTGCGTGAGGACACGTGCAAGGCACGGGGGGGTGCGTGGGGGTGCGTGAGGACACGTGCAAGGCACGGGGGGTGCGTGGGGGTGCGTGGGGGTGCGTGGGGACACGTGCAAGGCACGGGGGGGGGTGCGTAGGGACACGTGCAAGGCACGGGGGGACTGTGCCGTGTCCTCACCATCGTAGGATATCTTCACTCTCGGCACGGCGAGGAATTCCTGGGCCTGTGACCCCCACAGCGGCGGCGGCGGCAGCATCGCCGTGAGGGCGAGAAGCACAACGGGGAGGTGGTGCTTGGCCATGGCGGAGCGAGGAGGAGGTTGGTGGTCACCTCTGGCTGCAGGTCCCCCGCCCAACACATCCCCTACCCCCTCGGGAGGTGGTGGGGAGTCAGGGGTCAGGGATCGAGGGGACCCGGCTGGAGCCCCGTGCCTGCGAGCGGGAGGGGGGCGGACGGGGGGGGGGGTCGTGGAGTCACCCACGTGGAAAAGAGACGCAGCTTCTGCCGGCGGTGTGACTCATCTTCAAGCCACGTGAGCGAATTAAGAATTAATGTCGATGTGGGGGCAGGTAGGAGGAGGATGGGGGGGAGGGAGAGGAAAAAGGAGGGGTGGGTGGGGGTGAGGAAGAAGGAGAGGAGGGGGAAGGCACGGGGGTGGCAAGGGGGGGGGGAGGTGTCACCTGTACATTTGGCAGGCGTGACTAACACACCTGGGGAAAGCGTTTGGCTTCCGATTGGTCAATATTCCGGGGACATCGCGAGCCATCGCCACTGGCGACGCTGTCGCGAATCACTGCCAACGTCTAACATCGAGATCAGCTGAAGCCTCCCGTGAGTCACGTGACTTGCGTGCGCCCCCGCCCCCTCCCCACCACTCTGGACCCACGTCACCGCCCACTGTGAAAACAGACGCCGCTGTTGATGCTGCTGCTTCGTACAGATGCAGCAGCATCGAGGCCCTCGGGTGGTCTTTATTATCTCTCACCTCTCTCAGCTCTCCTCTCCTCTCCCGATCCCCGTTCCTCCCCCATCATTTCCCCTCCAATTCCCCGTTCCATCTCTTCCCTCTCCCGTTCCTTTTATTTTTCCCCCCAATGCGTGACGCCCTTGACTCGGCTCTCCTTCCCGCGGTGGAAGCCTATAGGCTTCACAGTTGCCCGTTACAATTACGACCATTTATCAACATGATAATAGGTTTTCCCATTTTTTCTGGCAACAAAACAGCTGTGTTAAGATGTTAAAACACCAAACTGAAACCTTTTACAAGGAATCGTGTCTGCATTAACCACATTACTTGTGGTCAGAGTGCAAACAAAAAACATACTCTGATAATATAAAAAGAAGGCTTTGATCATATTTTGGTGCTGGCAAAGGGGGGTTAGAGCGTGTAAATAAATGTGCCGTTAAACCCGCCACCACCCGACACAGCTAATTTAGTGCAAGCGAGCGAGTGTGGAGAAGGTGAGAGTGATTTAAAGCTTTCGTGACTGCAGGGATTCATCTTCTTGGTTCTTTCGTAAAGTCACGTAGAAGGGAAGTAATAAAATAATAAAAATAAAACATAATAAAATAAAATAATAATATAATATATTTTATTTTATTATGTTTTATTTTTATTATTTTATTACTTCCCTTCTACGTGACTTTACCGAAAGAACCAAGAAGAAAAAAGGTGAGAGTGGTGAGTGTCCCCCGCCCCCATCATCTCATCGTCGTTAAATATTAAAGTTAACGTTACGTTAATTTGCGTACGATTGCATTGTTGTGTACTGTACTGTACTCGACGTTTCGTAGATAAGGGGCCGTCCATAAATGACGTCACGCGATTTTGGACGATTTTTGCCCCCCCCCCCTCGTCACACGGCGTCACAAAAAGTCAGACCGCCCCCTCAAATATGACGTCACAAAGCTCTGCCCCCCCCCCACAAAACCATATTTCCATTTTGAAATCAAAACATGCTTCAAATCTCTTTAAACTATTGTCGTTGTAGTGCGTATTTAATGTGGCGATGCACTCTGATGTTGTAGGAGAAAACATTTATTAAGAAGTCTATTTAATTAATTAGAACGAGTTGTCTATATTATTTAAAGTTGCGCATTTTGATGTGACGTCACATTTCTCACCCCCCCCCCTCTTCTTGGTTCTTTCGGTAAAGTCACGTAGAAGAAAAGTAATAAAATAATAAAAATAAAACATAAAAAAATAATTCTCACGACGTTTCGGCCGCAACGCAAGCAGCCGTCCTCAGGTGAAGACCAGGTCTGACAGCTGCTTGCGTTGTGGCCAAAACGTCGTGAGAATTATTTTTTTATGTTTTATTTTTATTATCTTATTACTTCCCTTCTACGTGACTTTACCGAAAGAACCAAGAAGATGAATCAATGCAGTCACGAAAGCTTTAAATCGACCCCCCCCCCCCTCGTTCACACATCGTCACAAATGTTTGACCCCCCCCCCCTCTAGGTACGTGACGTCATTTATGGACGCCCCCTAAACGGGCAACTGAGTTCAGCTGCGACGAGTCTGACCCCTGACCCCCGATGACCCCCGTTGGTCCCCCTGAACTCTATCGACCACGAGGTTGTTTCAGGAACCGAATCTTCGTGGCGGGTTCACAATGGGATCACTGCCGTGTTGTGGAACTTCTTTAAAACCATGATAATCGCGTGGGGGTAGGGAGGGGGGGTTGCGGAAACATCCCTGATGCCACGATATTCTTGGGGCTTTCGGTAAAAGTCACGTAGATAGGTTCAAAGAAAATAACAAACAAAAAACTACGACGTTTTGATCTCAACATCTTCCTGATGACGATGATCACTTGTCGAAGTTTTTTGTTACGAACGAATCTACGTGAAATTTCGATTTAAAGCTTTCGTGACTGCAGGGATTCGTCTTCTTGGTTCTTTCGGTAAAGTCACGTAGAAGGGAAATAATACAATAAAAAAACAAAATAATTCTCACGACGTTGCCAAGCGTGGTGGTGTTCATTCAGACTGTCGTTCCGACAGAACTGTTCTTCACCTGAGGACGGCTGCTTGCGTTGTGACCGAAACGTCGTGATAATTATTTTATTATGTTTTATTTTTATTATTTTATTATTTCCCTTCTCCGTGACTTTACCGAAAGAAGCAAGAAGATGAATCTACGTGACTTTTACCGAAAGACCCAAAGAATATGAATTCCTGCACTCACGAAAGCTTTCAGTCAAGATCCTATCACCGATGCCGTCATCACCACCACGCGTGCCGTTTTGCCTGCTTGTTGCTAATACAAATTCCAGCGCGTGCGAGAGTGCATCACCTGGGTACACGTGCGGTGCGAAAGAAGTTCGGCATACACGCACACAGCTCATGTACACGATTCCAGTTGCTCTGGGTACAGATGCGCGCGTGTGTGTCGCTGAGACGATTTGACTGACTGGTCTTGCCAAGACACCCCGTGTAGCCTGTAACAGACTGTAGGGGCAAGTGCTGTTAGCGAGTAGCAGTACCTATGAAGGCTACCGGCACTGTGGCACACACGAGGGGGTGGGTAGCCAGCACCACGCCCGGCTGCCTTTGTCTCCCCAGTGGCGATGTTTACACACTGCACCAGGTACTCATTTGAGGCTGAGTCGACCTAGGGAAGGCCCAGCACCGGTTCAAATAATCGTCACCGGTGTTGGCCGTGAGCGGGAATCGAACTCGGGTCGTCGGGTTAATAGCGCAGCGCGCAAACCACAACGCCACCGCTCCCCACGAACCACCACCATCACAACCACCATCATCACAACCACCATCACCGCGGCAAACATCGTCTCCGCCTGCATCACCAGCATCAACACTATACCACCACCTTCACCATAACCACCAGCATCGCAAGCACGACCATCAACCACCATCACCCACCACCAGAGAAGCCGGCTCCCGTCTCTCGCCCTCATCTTGACGCGCGAGACGACGCTCATGCCGGCTCCGACTTTCAATGTCTCTCTCAATGTCTCTCTCCCTCTCAATGTCTCTCTCTCAATGTCTCTCCCCCTCTCAATGTCTCTCTCCCTCTCAATGTCTCTCTCTCACTCTCAATGTCTCTCTCCCTCTCAATGTCTCTCTCTCTCAATGTCTCTCTCTCTCAATGTCTCTCTCTCCCTCTCAATGTCTCTCTCCCTCTCAATGTCTCTCTCCTCTCAATGTCTCTCTCTCTCAATGTCTCTCTCTCTCAATGTCTCTCTCCCTCTCAATGTCTCTCTCCCTCTCAATGTCTCTCTCCCTCTCAATGTCTCTCTCCCTCTCAATGTCTCTCTCCCTCTCAATGTCTCTCTCCCTCTCAATGTCTCTCTCCTCTCAATGTCTCTCTCTCTCAATGTCTCTCTCTCTCAATGTCTCTCTCTCTCAATGTCTCTCTCCCTCTCAATGTCTCTCTCCCTCTCAATGTCTCTCTCCCTCTCAATGTCTCTCTCCCTCTCAATGTCTCTCTCCCTCTCAATGTCTCTCTCCCTCTCAATGTCTCTCTCTCTCTCTCAATGTCTCTCTCCCTCTCAATGTCTCTCTCCCTCTCAATGTCTATCTCTCTCTCAATGTCTCTCTCCCTCTCAATGTCTTTCTCCCTCTCAATGTCTCTCTCGCCTCACGCCGGCTGATTGCGAGCGCCACCCTATACCCCCCCTCTCCTTTCCCCCACCCTACTAGGGGGGGGTGGGGAGGCACGGGCGGCGGCTCCGTGTCTCGTCTCACCTGCGAACTCACCTGCCTGCCTGCCCGCTTCCTCACCTGGCCTGCCGAAGCCAGTCGATGGCCTCCTTTACCTGCCCAGCTTCTCACCTGCGGAGCGCCCCGCTGATCTCTTCCCTTGGCTGCTTTACCTGCCCGGTGACCTCCTCCTACCGCTCACCTGTTTACCAACCCGCTCACCTGCTTGTTTACCTGGTCACCTGTTTGTCTCCATACCTGGGGCTGCTCGTTGCTGCTGCTCGCTGCTGCTGCTCACCTAGGCGCGCGCCTCCAGCTCTGCACGCGAGCGTCGCAGCGTGGGCGGGGGGTGAGGGGCGGGGGGTGAGGGGCGGAGATCCCCACCCCCCACTAACCCCCCACTACCTGCCCACTAACCCCCCCACCCGCTCACTAACCCTCCCACTAACTCCCCCCCTACTAACCCCCCCCCCACTAACCCCCCCCCCACCCGCCCACTAACCCCCCCCCCGCCCACTAACCCCCCCACCCGCCCACTAACCCCCCCACCCGCCCACTACCCCCCCACCCGCCCACTACCTTCCCACCCACCCTCCCACCCCTCCCACCCCTCCCACCCATCCACCCCACTCTCCCACCCACGCCTCTTCTCGCTTCGCCTCAACCCGTTCAGGGCGATTATCCTCCTCCCGCTCCTCCCACCAAGCCTCCTCGGGAGCGATGGAGGGCGTCAGGGAGAGGGTTGACATGTATAGAGGGTCAGGATATAGAGGGTCATGGGGGTGGGAATGCAGGGGGTCAGGGATCTTGGGGGGTCAGGGGGTAGGGCTGTAGGAGGGAGGGGTATGGATATAGGGGCTTATGTGGTAGTGTGTAGAATAATCTTTATTCATCTTGTAGGAATCCGATGAGCTATGAAGCTCTTTTTAAACAGTTGTCCGGTAAGGGGTCAGGGGGTAAGAATGTAGGGGGTAGGGGCTCAGGAGAGGGGGGGAAGAGACAGGAATTCAGGGGCGTGGTGGGATGAGCTGCACGTATGGGCATGGGGGTCGTCTCGCGATGCTATCGGAGCCGCCGTGTTGTGGTTTCAAAAGACCATGGCGCCTCCTCCTCCTCACCACCCCCCACTCCCCCACCACGTGCCCGCCCACCACGTGACCTTTCTGATAATTTCTCAAACACCACGTGGCCTGGCAGGGTGGTGCAGGGAGGAGAGATTCAGAGAGGAGTAGGAGATGCAGGGAGGAGAGGGAGATGCAGGGAGGAGGGGGAGATGCAGGGAGAAGTGGGAGGAGTGGGAGATGGAGGGGGGAGTGGGAGACGCAGGGAGGAGTGGGAGATGCAGGGAGGAGTGGGAGATGCAGGGAGGAGAGGGAGATTCAGAGAGGAGTGGGAGATGCAGGGAGAGGGAGACGCAGGGGGGAGTGGGAGATGCAGGGAGAAGTGGGAGGTGCAGGGAGTAGGAGATGCAGGGAGGAGAGGGAGACGCAGGGGGGAGTGGGAGATGCAGGGAGGAGTGGGAGGAGTGGGAGATGCAGGGAGTAGGAGATGCAGGGAGTGGGAGATGCAGGGAGGAGTGGGAGATGCAGGGGAGGAGTGGGAGATGCAGGGGGGAGTGAGAGGAGTGGGAGATGCAGGGAGGAGTGGGAGACGCAGGGAGGAGTGGGAGATGCAGGAAGGAGTGAGAGGAGTGGGAGATGCAGGGAGGAGTGGGAGATGCAGGGGGGAGTGGGAGATGCAGGGAGGAGTGAGAAGAGTGGGAGATGCAGGGAGGAGTGGGAGATGCAGGGGGGAGTGGGAGATGCAGGGAGGAGTGAGAAGAGTGGGAGATGCAGGGAGGAGTGGGAGATGCAGGGAGGAGTGGGAGATGCAGGAAGGAGTGAGAGGAGTGGGAGATGCAGGGAGGAGTGGGAGACGCAGGGAGGAGTGGGAGATGCAGGAAGGAGTGAGAGGAGTGGGAGATGCAGGGAGGAGTGGGAGATGCAGGGGGGAGTGGGAGATGCAGGGAGGAGTGAGAAGAGTGGGAGATGCAGGGAGGAGTGGGAGATAAAGGGGAGGAGTGGGAGATGCAGGGAGGAGTGGGAGATTCAGGGAGGTGCCCTAAACCAGTTTGACACCAAGTCCTGGCCGAGGGAATGTGGGACAGGATAAATATTGGTCGACATGGGGAGCCAGTTCTCTCGTGGGCTGGAAGCCAGGGGGGGGATCAACCAATCCTTGCCTCCCTACCTAACCCCCCGCCCCTCCATCCCTGCAGGTATGGGCCGCGAGTTCCCGGTAAGCAGAAGTAGCCTCGCCTGTCTGGTTCCCCGGGTCTCCCACACCTTTACGTAAAATAAAACATCGATCAAAGCCACCACCCCCTCTCGCGAAGGGCGTCTGACCGGCGGCGTGGAAGAGTAGGCCAACAAATACACCACCCTGGTCTAGTAGGGCGGGGGGGGGGGGCTCTTAGAGCGGGGGGGCCACGTCAATTTTGCGCGGCTGCATCTCGACGGAGCACGGCCGACCCCGACCGAACGAAGGGGAAGTGACACAGATTCTGAAAGCTCTTGGCCGATACCTGCCGGGGACGATCGCGAATCTTCGCGCGGACAAAAGCGATAATTGAAATGTCTATTTGCGGCTCCGGGTAGGAGGGGGGGGGGTGTAATGAGAGGTTGCCACACGCGGCACGTTCATCCCCTGAAGTCGAAGGCCCCAAAAATGGCTCGGTTGTAACGCCACCCTCCCCCCTCTCCCTCAGGGTGGCGGATGCTAATAGTGATTATTTAACGGCGTTAAGCGCCTCGATTAAAAATATCTCCGACGGCAAGGTCACCTTGGCAATGAATGATGGGGAAAACAATATGCCATGAAGTTAGGGCGACCGGAGTACATTTGACAATGTCAAATTCTGATCACATTGTCAAATGTAAAGACGTGAAACTGCGGGAGAAGATGGACATGGAACTGTGGGGGCCGAGAGAACGGCCGATCTCTGTCCTCCAAGCTACCCGTGCCCTCGGTAGGCCGCAGGTGGCCAGGGATTCATGTCTCTCCATATTTTTCCGGAACCTTGCGCAAGCTTTCAACAGCGCGGACAACTTCCTGCTGGGTAAAAAAAATGCTTTTCGTAAAAAACAACAATCAATAAGAAAAATGTTAACTTTTATTTTAGCCACGTAATTGTTTTAAGTCGTTCCTTGAAATGCACGAAGATTACTGCAACACTTCAAAACGCAGGTACCGCGCGGTTAACACGATGCTTAGTCAGTTTTATTTGTTGAGGACTTTATCAGCCAAGGGTGTCATCAGCGAAGTGTTTCATCAGCGAAGGGTTTTATCATCTAAGGGTTTCATCAGCGAAGTGTTTCATCAGCGAAGGGTTTTATCATCTAAGGGTTTCATCAGCGAAGTGTTTCATCAGCGAAGGGTTTTATCAGCGAAGGGTTTCATCAGCGAAGGGTTTCATCAGCGAAGGGTTTTATCAGCGAAGGGTTTTATCAGCGAAGGGTTTCATCAGCGAAGGGTTTTATCAGCGAAGGGTTTCATCAGCGAAGGGTTTTATCAGCGAAGGGTTTTATCAGCGAAGGGTTTTATCAGCGAAGGGTTTCATCAGCGAAGGGTTTCATCAGCGAAGGGTTTTATCAGCGAAGGGTTTTATCAGCGAAGGGTTTCATCAGCGAAGGGTTTTTATCAGCGAAGGGTTTTATCAGCCAAGGGTTTTATCAGCCAAGGGTTTCATCAGCGAAGGGTTTCATCAGCGAAGGGTTTTTATCAGCGAAGGGTTTCATCAGCGAAGGGTTTCATCAGGGAAGGATTTTATCAACGAAGGGTTTTAACAGCGAAGGGTTTTTATCAGCGAAGGGTTTCGGTTTCCGGGTTGGGACGAGTTTATGTGGAGCGTCGTGAGGCCGGCCGCGTGCGAACAGTGCCGTGCACAACCACCGCTCTCGTGGCGGCGCGTGGGTGGTGTTTGGTGTTTGGACTGCGCAACGAAAACGCGACGGAGCAGGCGCGGCGCCCCGGGCGAAGGCGTTCCCCTCCCACCCCACCCCGCCCCCCCCCATCGGGGAGCGACGTGGGGATCAGGGGGGGCGACGTGGAGATCGGGGGGGCGACGTGGGGATCGGGGGGAGGCGACGTGGGGATTGGGGGGGGTGGGCAGGGTGCACGCACGCCGCCGAGTTTGCGCCGTTCAACAGGGACCGCACGGTGTTGCCCGACGTTTCGCCCCACGTGCCGGCAGCGTCCTCGGGTTGTTGCTGTGCCGATCCCCCACCGTGTTTTGTTTTGGGGGGGCAGGGGGCCGGTATTGCCGTGCGCTGTTCAGGAACTGCAGAGCTCAAAGTGGGTGCAACGAGACGTCGGGCATCGAGTCCCCAACAAACCGATGACGCGTCGGAGAGGTGCGCGGCACAACCGCCATAGTCACATCGTTGCCACTGTCACGACTGTCGGCATTGTCTTCATCACTGTCATCGTCACCATCGTCGTCATCGTCACAACAGTCATCGCCGTCGGTGGCGTCACCGTCACCGTCACCACCGCTGCGGTAAACGTGGGGACTGCCAGGGGCCATCCTGCGGTGTCCGGTCTCTTCTCACGGCCGGCTGGGCACGCACAGGAAAGTCCGGTTTGTGGGGATGGTGGTGAGCGGTGGGGGGGGGGCCAGGTGAGTTGATTTTCGCGCAGAACCGGTCGGTGCTGTTGACAAGTGGTGGCCAATGGGGACAGCCCCCCCCCCACCCCCGTGCGCATGGGGAGGTGTGGGTGTTGGGGTGTCGGGGAGCGGCGGCGCAGTGGTTAGCGCCAAAGCGCTACGAACCCGGCAACACCCGCGCTGTGACGGCTAACGTCGGGAGCGAGCGATGCCTCAACCGGTCCCAGGGCCTCCCCTGGGTCGACTCGGCCAAGGCGGCCTGGCGTGGTGTCGTGGTGTCACCCACCCCGCCCCCACGAGCGCCGCGCCGCTCCCAATAGACGCTCGCAAACAGCACTTGTCCCAACAGTGCCGTGCAGGCTGCAAGGGTGAGGGGTTTGCATTTGCGTTGAAGCGTGTGCACCAGGGTAGGCTTGTGCCACGTGACGCCGGGTGCCATGTGGGACTAACGCGGAAGCATCCATTGTTCCTGGCTCGATTGGGGAGGGGGGGGGGGCATCTCCGAATCCCTCCAGGGCTGCCGGTCGTCGTGCGGAGGGTGGCGGGCGCTCCGCTGCAGGCGCGAGATCTGCGACCCTGCACCACCCCTGTGGGGAGAACGTGCAGACGTCAGCCCAGCCTGGCTTCACGCAGGCTCGGTGGTAGGGATGTACCACGTGGGCGGGCGCGTGGGGGTGTACCACCTCGGTCGAGGAGGGGGGGGGGTGTTCCTCTTCCCACAGGAGGGCAGCGTGGGGGGGGGGGCGAGGTCAGGTGTCGCTCGGCGACCTCTTCAGTGAGACGAGGACGCAGTTCCGAGGGGACAGCGTGGGGTCAAACAGCGGCACCAGGAAGCTCTCAAAGCCTGCAATGGGGGAGGAGGACATAGGGCAGAGATCGGAGACAAAATACGCTGAGAGGGCGCAAAGATCTCCCGTATAGGGTCTGATTAAAAAAAAAAGTGTGTTTCGGAAAGTATCGATGGCAAGTAAGACACCGATGAAAAGCCGGCACCGCACACGAGTGGGCGGGTGGCCAACACCACGCCCCGCTGCCTTTGTCTCCCTCAGTGGCGATGTTTTCGCACCGCACCAGGTACACGGTGGTTCAGGCTGAATCGACGGCTAGGGAGAGTACCGGAGGCAGCTCCAAAATACCTTCACCACGGCTATCGGTCGCGAGCGGGGCATCGAATCCAGGGTCGCCGGATTCGCGGCGCTACCGCTCGCCACCGCGGGACAGATCAACTTGGACGCGGACGCGTGCGTGTACGGGCCTGTGGCGTGAGCTGCGTTGTTGTTGTTACCAAGCCTGAGTCAGCGCGTCACCGCTCCGTTACGCAACCGTGAACTCCCGTCGCCTGGCGCCCCCTCCTGGTCTCGTGCAGGGTGCAGCAGCGGCGTGCAGGGAGAGCGTTGTGCGGGTGCAGGGAGGACAGTGCAGGGAGGAGAGTGCAGGGAGGAAAGTGCAGGGAGGAGAGTGCAGGGAGGCGAGTGTCCGCACCCTGCTCGTGCAGGTAGAGCGAGCGGTCGAGCAGCACGAGCGACTCGACCAGCGGCGCCAGCGCCAGCGCCAGCGTGAAGAAGGCGAGGGTCCGGCCCTGCTGGCCCAGCGCCGCCCGCACGCGCTCGCCGTCGCCCGTCCCCAGCGGCGCCAAACCCAGCCGCGCGAGGCCCAGCGCCGCGTACCTGGGGGGGGGGGGGAAGAGGCCGCGGTGAGCAACTGGGCACACGTAGCGCCGGTAACCGCAGTCGCCCTCCAGCAACAACGGAGGGCAGTGGAGCGGCGCTCGCAACGACGAGCGGGGCGCAGGTCGGATAGAATGCAGCGAGGTGGCGCAGTAGAGAGCAGAGCTGGTGGTGCATCTGCCGGCCGTCTCGGTCAGTCAACCCGTGGCACCTGGGTCTGTCCCGTGACCAGCCAGCAGTGAGCCTTCGACACTTCACGTGGCCTCAAGGCGCACCAAGCTTGGCACAGGCGTCGTGGCGGCGACGTCACCGCCACTTACTGGTAAAAAGTGATTGTACTTGCTCAAGCTCAGCAGGTGACCCTCCCCCACCCAACCGTGCGACCCCCTACCCCCTCCCCCCATGCCCACCCCACCCCCCACGTACTCGCTGAACTCCAGGCGGTGCGCGTGTTTGATGGGACGCACCGGCGCGCGAGACAAGTCACGCCGCCGATCGCGGATCAGGATCTCGAGGGCGGCGCGGTGTGCGTGGATCCGCAGGGCGGTGGCGGCAGCGCCGTCGTCGCTGGCGGTGAGCCGCTCGGCGTGATCCTCCAGCCCGTGGCACGCCAGCTCGCGCCAGCGGTACGGCAGGTCGTGGCCCGGCAGGGCCGCCAGCCACGAGCTCATGGGGTAACCGGGTTCTGCAGAGAAGGGGGGCGCGAGGTGTGACGTGCAACGGTGGCAAGATGTTAACTACATCACCTGGTATGCAGGAGGTCGTGAGTTCGTTCCCAACCCTGATGCCTGCTGCTGTATATTTGGAGTTTGCGGTGTCTCTCTCTCTCGCCGTGGTCGCGTGGATTTTTCTCCGGGTCCTCCAGTTTTTCCCTCCGCATTTAGAATCAACATCACGCGTTCAGAGTATTTGGCTGCTATACATTTCCACAAGATGATAAGCCACTTCGTTGAGCTATCAGTTGTGGCCAGATTGCTTCTTAAAAAGATCTACTAGCTCAGTGGGCCATACCTGGCAAAATAAAAATAGTTTTAGTAGTCTAGCATACCTCTCGCAAGGGCTGCGGTAACTAGACAATCACTACCTTAATTTGGTGTGATGTTTTATCTGACTTAGTTTTACTTTGAATAGTTCAAAAGTCATTTGACAAAGTCAACTTATGTTATGTGCAGTGTTTTTATTTCTCCTGCAACTCAGTTGTGCTGCTCTCATTTTGTAATTGCTGTCCTTGTATTTTGTTTTAATGCCTCTTATTTTTGGTGACTCAGTTTAAGGAGAGGGGGGCATTTGCACGTACGGAGCAACGGGGGGGGGGGGGGGGGGCTCGTGAAACTGTGGGAGTGCGTCGTCGGCCACGATCTATCCGCTGCTGGATGAACGGATCAAGGCCTCCCCAACTGTAGTCATCTCTCCTCTCACATTCTAGTGATCAGACAACACCGACGTGGGCCCTTGCGAGCGGAAACGAGTCACCGTGGTGCTCACCACGCGCGGGCGTCCAAGCCGGGTCGCCCGGCTGCTGCTGCTGCTGCTGCTGCTCGCACGTCGACAGCTTCATGTAGCAGCAGGCGACCGAGGTGACGGCGCGGACGCACGGGCAGCGTACGAACAGACGGAGCAGCGCGGCGCTCAGGTCCCCGCACGCATGCAGCCCCGTGAGCACCACGCCGGGCCCGTCCGCTGGCCCACATACCGGCCCGTCGATCGGCCCGTCGGTGGCCACCGAAGTCACCGCCGCTGCCGCCCCCCCATCAGCTCTTCCGGGGAGCCCTTCCTCCGGATCGCCACAGATCGGACCGCCCGTGTCGCCGCTCCCTGGGCCCGGCGCGTCTCGCAGCAGCGCCACGAAGTGCTGCCAACTGGCGGTGGCGTCGGCGTCCACCCGGCCCACCCGGTGGCGCGGCGGCCTGACGGGGGCGGCGGCGTCGCCAGTGCCGCCGGCGGCCCCGTGCTTGCGGGCCGCGGCCGCCAGGAGCTGGCGGTCGAGGCGGACGGCGGCGGAGACGAGGGCCGGGTCGGCCTCCACGGCCGTGACGCCCAGGCCCAGCCCAAGGCCCAGGAATCGGGAGAGGTGGCCCTGCGGGGTCACGCGGGCGGCGGGGTCAAGCGGGCGGCAGGAGCCCTGGGTGGGCCCTGAGTGAGGGTCAACGCAAGTCGAGCGTGTGGACGGCGCAGTGGGGAGCACAGGTGGTGCATCTGTCAGCCGTCTCGGTCGGCCAACCCATGGCACCTAACAAGTGCCGTGGTGACGTCACCGTTATTTAGTGGCGACTGGTGGATGTTGCTGCGGGTTAAGATGTGGATGTTGGTGAGGATGTTGGTGAGGATGTGGGTTTGTGCTGATGACTGCTCACCTGTCCTGAGCCGACGTCCACCACCTCCTCGCACCCCACCTCATCGCACAGCTGACGCACCAGCTGTCCGTGCCACACGCACACACACACACATGCAAGCATGTCAGCCTCAGCTCGTGCATATTTGTGCGCGAATGGGGAGCAGCGGGACATTGGTTTGCGCATTGCGCTACAAACTCAGCAACCCGCGAATATACGTAAAAAAAATATCTGAACTTTGTCCCGGGCATCCCCAGGGTCAACTCGGACTTAAATGGGTACCTGAAGTTGTGTGCAAACATCCGCACTGGTAAGACAAAGGCGGATGATGTTGGACATCCACCCCGCGAGTGCCGTTCCGGCCTTCATAGGTGCTCACTAATAGCACTTTTCCCAACAGCCTGTCAAGGCTAACACGGCGGGTGGATCTTTTTGTCTTTGTAGCACTCCTCACCATGCCCAGCCTCTGGATCTCGTGCTGCTTCTTTGGCTTCACGTGCACGCGGTACAGGTGCTGCAGCAAGGCGCTCTGGCAGGGGTTCTGCCTGAACTCCGGGGTCCCTCCCGTTGGCCCCGTGCCTCCCGCAGACCCCGTTACGCTCCCCCGCGGCACCCGAGGAAGCCGCAGCGCGGAGCACGCGGCGCGGAAAGCGAGCAGAGACAGCGGCCACACGGTGGGCAGCCTGGGCGCGACAGAGCGACGCGGAGACACGCGGCGGTGGGGTGGGTGGGTGGGGACACGCGTGGTGACACACAGAGCCATGTAGAACTTCACAGGGCCACAGTCGCACGACACCACCAATAACTACACGACATCTAAAGTGAACTATTTTTATATTAAACTGTGTTTATTTTACCAGGTAAGGCCCACTGAGCTATATAGCTCTTTTTCAGAAGCGACCTGGCCACAAATGATAGCGAAATAAAGTGTACAAATACTCTGAACGCACGTCGGTTCGAAATGAGGAGGGAAAACACCAGAGGACCCGGAGAAAAATCTGCGAGTCAAACACACAAGCACAGGGAATCAAATAGCTCCATGCGACGCAACATCACAAAGAACCATGCAGACCAATTAGGATCCGAATAAACTACACTGCACCGCAAGGCATCAGACGGAACGACTACACACAGATAATCACATGACACCACAGATAACCACAGACCACGCAGAATCTCGGAAACCACGTGGATTTCACAAAGACGCCTGCAACCACACGACACGATGCACGGTGAACCGCACAAGATCACGGAGAACTGCACGGCGAACCGCGCTTGACACCGCAGGGGCACGCCGTCTACGATCACTCGGAGCTCCCCGTGCGATCGAAGCTGCGGGGGGGGGGGCCCATCTCCCACCCTTACCCGCGCCGCTCCCCGCACAGCAGCAAGGAGCCCAGCTGGGCCGGCGTCAGCTGATCCAGAACCTCTCGCCACCGCGCTGGGAGCTTCTCCCAGTGGTTCTCCGTGAAGAATTCCTGGCGACACCGCAGGACGCGCGAGGGGGGGGGGGCGGTGGCGTGACGGACGGCGTGGCGCAGGAGGACACACAAACAAAAACCTAGGCCCGTATTCTTAGTCACGGCTCGGGCTGGCTCAAGCGAGCCGTGGCTCGTAGCCCTGCGCTTAACTGGGACCGCGCTCAGGATTTCTGCGAGCCGAGCCTTGGCCGAGCCGCTCGCTCACGCAGTTGTTGAAAGCAGGTGAGCGGCTCAAGCCTGAGCTGAGCCCGAGCGTTCGAGGGCGAGGCGTGACGAGTCAGTCGAGCTGCGACCAAGCACATGGCCCCCCTTAGCAGTTAACACAAAGCAATCATTCGCATCTTTGAAGCGGTAGGAGTCCCCGACACTTTACCCCACCACACGTGACCAGACGGTCGACTGTGTTGAAAGCATTTATACTGCTGGGTGGACACAGGTGGCGAGTGGTGGTGGTAGGTGGTGGAATTGAATAAACTTGCCGCGTCGTTTCAGCTGCTGCGCCGGAGGGGGGGGGACAGGGGAGATAGAACCGGCGGCGACCTCTGGATTGCGAGTCCAGCGCGCTGCTCCGTTACACCACCACCACCACCGCCGCCGTCGCCGTGGCAGGCAAGCGCCCGTTACACTAAACCACCCCGACTAAACGAGCGCCTTCTTGGTTCTTTCGGTAAAGTCACGTAGAAGGGAAATAATAAAATAATAAAAATAAAACATCATAAAATACAATTCTCACGACGTCTCGGCCACAACGCAAGCAGCCGTCCTCAGGTGAAGAACAGGCCTTTACCGAAAGAACCAAGAAGATGAATCCCTGCAGTCACGAAAGCTTTAAATCGAAACGAGCGCCGTTTGGGAGACGTGGAGGTGGACGGGCGGTAGGTACCACGATGTAGGCGTCCAGGATGTGGCGGTGCGCGCCCAGCATGCGGACGATGTGCGACGCCAGCTGCTGCTGCTGCCGCGCCGTCAGCTGAGTGTGGGACCCCGCGATCATTGCGAGCCTGGCACGAGCGCACCTCCGATTAGCACGGTTGGCTACGTGCAGTACGAAAGAAGTTCAACGTACATACACACGTACGAGTGCACGGCAGGAACACGGCAACATGGGTCGGCGTCAGGCAATGATGGTTAGAAACATGGCCGAGGGGTCCACCTATTCATTGGTAGCCGTCCCTGGGCAGCACAAATTAAAGACGGCACAGACCCGCAAGCGGATATGTGTTGGTCTGCCAGTAGACTGCGATGTTGCTACTTGTTATTGCAGTTAATAAATGTTTCAAATTTCGTAATTAATAATCAAGATCTTTGGGTTATATCGCGTAAGTATAAATGTGTCGTAACTCTCCACCACCCGACACAGCCAGTAAGGTTCGTCACGGAAACAACGCGCCAATTAGTTTACTACTTCAGCCCACCGGTGTGTTGGAGAGTAAATCCACAACATTTACAATCTGAATACGACGTTTTGCTGGTAATTACATCCAGCACCATCGGGCGATTTGCCAGAATAGTGAAATAATCCACCTGCTTCCGGTCTTAAACAGAACAGCAGGACGATGTCATCACTGAACCTATCAGGTGCAGAGATCAAAGGCGGAAGAGGGGGGTATTGTAATTATATAATATATTAGTAATTAATTCATTCGTATGTTTACTCTATAAGGAATTGTAGTTAAGATGTATTAGTTAATAATACGTTTCCAGGCCGCAATAAGCCTGTAGCTATCAGAGCGGTTAATGTATATCTCCCAATTTCAATGCATTCACGAATTAGCCTCGGCCAGTAATAATTAGTTTTACACAACACTTCAACGTTATCAAAATCAATTGAGTCTCCTTGTTGGCAAGCATGTTCTGCAACTGCTGACAGTTGTGTTTGAGAGTATTTAATATTTATTTGGTGTTCTTTCAGTCTAATGCTAATCTTATAGCATCTGCCAGATACGCAATTAATCCGAAACACACCTTCTGTTGTTAACTTACGCAATTCATCTTTAGTACAAGACACTGGTTTTTGAATTTTGTGTACCGCATCTGCCACATACGCAATTAATCCGATACACACCTTCTGTTGATAACTTACGAAATTCATCTTTAGTACAAGATACTAGTTTTTGAATTTTGTGTACCGTGTCAAATCTTAATGAGATTTTTTTTCTTCCAAAACTCTACCTAATTTGTCAGTTACTCCCGCAATATATGATATTTTAATTGTTTTAATAACCTGATCACTTTCAGCAGTATTGCTGTTCAATCTTGGTTTGGCATTCAATGCTCTGTTAATTTGAGCACTATTGTAGCCATTTAATCATAGCGCTTCTTTGACATGTTTAATCTCTCTCCTAGACTTTCACCATCTGACACTGTTTAGCCCGATGTACTGGCATATTGATGAGAGAGGATTTCTGTGCGGGGTGATGATGCGAATCTGCATTCAGATAGGCATCAGTGTGCGTTTCCTTTCAGTAAATGCTTTGTGTTATTTTACCATTTAGGCCGCGTCCGAGCAAAATATTCAGGAATGGGAGTGTGTTATACTGGTAGGAACCTCCTGGTTACACCAGCCCACAGGGGATTATTGTGTCCGTCGTGCAGGGAGGGGCTGGGTGGGGAGGGATGGGCTGGGTGGGGAGGAGCTGGGTGAGTAGGGTGGGGCTGGGTGGGGAGGGTAGGGAGGGGCTGGGTGGGGAGGGTGGGGAGGGGCTGGATGGGGAGGGTGGGGCTGGGTGGGGAGGGGCTGGTCACCCCGTGGTGCCCTTATAAAACTCAACGTTTAACCTACTAACCTTTATTATGAATAAAATTGCTCGCAAACGCCTACGTGTAAAATTTCATAATGTTTTAAAACTGTCAAATTTGGGCCATGAGAATGGAAAAGCATAAATTGAGTTATTCAACATTTTGATTTTAATGATTCTACCAGGGCTATTCATTCCATTTTGCTTAATTCTACTACAAAGTTTCAAGTATTTTTTATAGTTATAATTACTTTTAATATATAATTATAAGAGAATTTCAAAATAATATTCTGAACATCTGCAGTTTTAGTTAGACGATGAATATTTTCAAGTGAATTTTATGCTAAATTTCAGCGTTCCAATGCCTCCTTTTTAATACGTGTTTTCGCCGACAACATCAGAGTGCAGCGCCACATTAAATACGCACTACAATGACGATAGTTTAAAGCGATTTAAAGCATGTTTTATTTTCAAAATGGAAATATGCTTTTGGGGGGAGGGGGCAGAGCTTTGTGACGTCATATTTGAGGGGGGGGTCTGACTTTTTGTGACGCCGTGTGACGAGGGGGCGGGGTCAAAAATCGTCCAAAATCGCGTGACGTCATTTATGGACGGCCCCTAGCACTCGGACCCATATCTGACAGATAGACTTTGCCTAGAACAGCTGGAAAGTTCACCAGCATTGGTTCAAACAAGCCTGACTGCCGAATGTGGAAACCGGTCCCATAGTTTTCGCTTGTATCGTACCAACGCTGATGAGATTATGCACTACTCTTTGGTTCTTTCGGTAAAGTCACGTATAAAAATAAAATAATAAATGAAATACTAGCATACGACGTTTCGATTGCAACACAAGCAATCATCATCAGGTATAAATGAAATAGAAACACAAATCTAGTATACTTAGAAATGGAATGTAATACAACAGAGCTAAATTTGAGAGAGAGATAAAACACAGAACCAGAAACATATAGCATTCTCAGGAAGAATGTAATCAACCAGGTAGGGTGTTGACTGTTATTTTATCCGACTCTCTGTTGTATTACATTCCATTTCTAAGTATACTAGATTTGTGTTTCTATTTCATTTATACCTGATGATGATTGTTTGTGTTGTAATCGAAACGTCGTATGCTAGTATTTAATGTATTATTTTCTCTTTATACGTGACTTTATCGAAAGAACCAAAGAGTAATTCCTGCAGTCACGAAAGCTCCAAATTAAGTTTATGCACTCGCAGAGAAGCAAGACCACCGAGTGGCTGATGGGATTAGTAAGACGTACTAAACACGTGGTAGGCGAGCGATGTGAATGAAAAGGCGTATTGCCTGCTGACTTTGTTAACACGTATAATCTCCACTACCTTCTTCATTTTCGATTTAAAGCTTTCGTGACTGCAGGGATTCATCTTCTTGGTTCTTTCGGTAAAGTCACGTAGAAGGGAAGTAATACAATAATAAAAATAAAACATATTGGCGAGGGGGTTGAAAGTCATTATGCCCATGCATTATGCAGGATTAGCAGTATCAAATGGAGGGAGTAAGGTTAGAATTAATAAAGGAAAAGAATGTTAATAATATGGCGCCGCAGCAACTAATATGTTTTTAGACTATACATTGTAATATTACACTATGTATTATTCTACCCACCCAACTGTATACCACACTGCTGTATATTCACCATGCAATTACGATACTATATATTACCTTATACATTGTATTAAAACATTACACTTTAATACTATTTATTATTATACAATATGCTATACACTATACCACTGACCGTCGCGTGAAAGGCACCAAGAGGAAGCAACGAAATATGTTCTTTCGGTAAAGTCACGTAGAAGGGAAATAATAAAATAATAATAAAAATATTAAATAATTCTCACGACGTTTCGGCCACAACGCAAGCAGCAAGTAGCCGTCCTCAGGTGAAGAACAGGTCTGTCGGGAAGACAAGTGTCTGTTCTTCACATGAGGACGGCTGCTTGCGTTGTGGCCGAAACGTCGTGAGAATTATTTTATTATGTTTTATTTTTATTATTTCCCTTCTACGTGACTTTACTGAAAGAACCAAGAAGATGAATCCCTGCAGTCACGAAAGCTTTAAATCGAAATCTCCACTACGACGACGCTTGCTTTTGTTATTAATCTGGACTTGGAAGCCCAGAACCCAGAATCGTGACGATCGAATAGTCTTCGGTAGAGGGTTGACTCCTCTGCACGGCAAGTGTTTGTCCATCCGCCCTGTCCTGGGATCGAACCGTCACTAGTCTCCCTCCCCCAGACCGGGCTCCCTGCGAGATCAGGTTCCAAGCCCCTGAAACCACCCGGCGCGACCGTCATTATGCCCCCTAATGGAGACGGATGGCAACGTTTAGGAGCGGACCAGGGCCAAAACTCATAACGAGAGGCAGACAAGGGCAGAAGGGGTGGGGGCAAGAGAAATGGGGGGGGGGCAGGAGGGGTGGGGGCAAGAGGGGGGCAGGAGAAGTGGGGGGGGGCAAGAGGGGGCAGGTTAAGTGGGGGGGGGGCTAAGGGGTGGGGGAGAAGGGGGGGGCAGGAGGGATGGGGGAGAGAGGGGGTAGGAGGGGGGTGGGAGAAGGGGGGCAGGAGGGATGGGGGAGAAGGGGGAGGCAGGAGGGGTGGGGGGGCAGGATGGGTGGGCAAGAGGGGGCAGGTTAAGTGGGAGGGGGCCGGAGGGGTGGGGGAGAAGGGGGGGCAGGAGGGGTGGGGGAGAAGGGGGGGCAGGAGGAGTGGGGAAGAAGGGGGGGGCAGGAGGGGTGGGGGAGAGAGGGGGGCAGGAGGGATGGGGGAGAGGGGGGGGGCAGGAGGGATGGGGGAGAGAGGGGGTAGGAGGGGGGTGGGATAAGGGGGGGTAGGAGGGGTGTGGGAGAAGGGGGGCAGAAGGGATGGGGGAGAAGGGGGGGCAGGAGGGGTAGGGGGGCAGGATGGGTGGGCAAGAGGGGGCAGGTTAAGTGGGGGGCCGGAGGAGTGGGGGAGAAGGGGGGGGCAGGAGGGGTGGGGGAGAGGAGGGGGGGCCGGACGGGTGTGGGAGCGGGGGGGCAGGAGCGATGGGGGAGAAAGGGGGGGCAGGTGGGGAAGGGGGGGGGGCAGGAGGGGGGGGGGGAAAGGAGGGGTGGGGGATAAGGGGCGGGGCAGGAGGGGTGGGGGGGGTGGAGTGGCGGGAAGGTGACCCAGAGTCCTGTCCCCTAAACCCACGTCACCACGCGGCACAGTAAACTCAAGTTACCACACGGTGGCGCCTCGCGCTACCCGGTGTTAACCGACGTTACCACGGTGTGAAAGTCTAATGTTAGGGTAATGCCAGGCACACTGCATTACACGCGTTACCCACATGGGTCATCGTTACCCGATGGGGAATTCGCGTTACCTTTACCTCACCGTTACATTTCACATGACACGAGTGAGTGAGTGAGGAGGGCCTTTGCACCCGTGGCGACCCCTGGACCCCGCGTCCTCTGCGGTCCCCTAACCCCCTCAGGGAGACCCCCACCCACCCCCCAGGGCACCCGTCTGTAAGGGGATCTCTCCGGGGTAGGACTGGGACCCGGGGGAGGGGTGGGGGTGAATGAACTCCGCCGAAAGGGGTCACCCAAATGCCGCATGTGTGTTGAACTTCTTTCGCACCGTACGTAGCCAACCGAGTTCCCCCCCGCGTGATGTCCACGACGACGTGGAGCGCCGAGGCGATGTTACTGCTGCACTCAATCCACACCGCTGCCGTTCTTACCGCGCAGAGGACGACCCCGCGGAGACGGAGCGACGACGGCGGCGGCGGTGGGGATGGTGGAGTAGTAGGGGGGGGGGGGGTCAGTTCGTAAAGTCGGGAGCAGTGGTGGACGCTATTAGAGCGCCTCACAGCGCTGGGGGTGGTGGTGGTGGTGGTTGACCTTCCTCCAGCAGTGGATGGAGAATGGCTACCTTACCGCTGCAAACGTCGCCTCGTAGTTGGCAAGAAAGACGGGCAACCAATAAAGTTTCACCAAACACGTGCGGACCTCCCCCCCTCCCGCCACCTTCTCGCGCCGTCTTGGGGGGGGGGGGTGTCAATAAAGTTTACGACAAAACGGCCCTTGTTACGTCATCGCGTTCTATATTTCCCACAGTGGACGCGCGCCCAAGAACGCGTCCCATTGGACGAGCGCTTCCCCCACCTCCACCTACCCCCCCCCACCCTTACCCCGCCCCGCCCACCCCGCGCTGTCTTAGCCAATCAGCATCGCGCGTGTCGCGCATCCGCGCTGGGGAATTCAAAAGGCGGCGTGGCCCGCTTTAAGGGCGCTCCCCACGCAACTGCGACCCCCACTCTTTGGTTCCGGCAGCGCCGCCTCCTCCTCCTCCACCACCTCCTCCACCACCACCTTCAACAACCGGCCACCTCTTTCTCTTCTTCTGCTTCTGCTGCTGCTACTTTCGCGACACGACCGTAATGGCGAGCTACCTGATGAAAGCGCTGACCGGCGCCGGGCGCGCTGCCGCCGCCGGCAGGAGCCAACTCCTCGTCGCGCCCGCGGCGTCCGGCAACACGACTCAGCGGCGTGGATGTGAGTTGCCGGTTCTTATCGAGTGGCTCCTTACACCCCCTTACCCCCTTACCCCTCTGGCTCCTTCCCTTCCCCCATCACCCCGCGAGTTGTTGATGCCTGGCGGCTGATCGTGGCTCCATGAGCCGGAGCGCTGCTGATGTTAATGGGGTCGAATCAGCCGGCGGGTTTGACGAAGATTGCGATGTTATTAACGGTATCGGGGGAGTAACGATAGGTGGTGGGTGGTGGTGATAATAATTATTGGTAGTGGTGAAAGTCGTGATGAAAGTGATTGAGATAGTGTGGGGTGGGCATAGGGGCGATTGTGATGGCGATGAGGGTGGTGTGTGATAAGTGCTGACGTTAGTGATGTTGGCGATGCTAGATGGTGTTTTTGGCGAAAGTGATGGTAATGCGTGGCATTTCCTGGGAGCGGCGATGATTGTGGCAGTGGCTATGTGGCGATGAAGGCGGTGGTTATGAAGGTTAACGATGATGGTGAATCCGTGGACTCGAAGCGCCGCTGATTGCGAGCAAGCAGAGAAGGCTGCGTTACGGCTCGGGTTGTTCTGACCCCCGATTAAGTGACGTCTCTTTGGGCAAACACACGGCTGGAGGGTTGGGACAGGGTGCCAAGGGCATTCCCGAGGGCATTGCGGACCCAGAGGAGGAGGGAGGGAGGGCAGGTTGGCAAAGGGCAGCGCGACTCTGTGCGTCCGTGTGCGGGAAGGAGACGCGGCACGCCTCAAGGTCACGGGAGAGGCCTCAAGAGGGTTGGTGCCAGCTGATGGGGTTCCTCTACCCATGATCTGGGGGGGGGGGTTGTGTGGGACTCTGCGAACCTCTCTAATCCCCTTGCTGCTCCGTGTTGGCAATTTGGTTTAATGGTTCCTCGGTTGGGGCCGGTTTCTGGGATCTCTGGTCCGGGAACTGGGATTGAGGGTGCCGAGTTTGGGTTTTTGGATCCAGGGGGGTGTAGGAGGGGAGTGTGGATGGTTGTAGAGCGTCGTCTGGATTATTGGGTTTGGGGTTAGGATCTTAAACTGGGGGGGGGGGGGATCAGCTCCTGGGTTCTAGAATAGTTTGGTGCAGAGTTCGAGTTGAGGGTACTCGGAATCAGAATACTTATGCGAGAGGAATCCTATGAGCTAGAAATCCGAGAGCCAAAATCTACCGGTCCGCAATCTGGTGGTGTCTGGGTTCCAAAAGTCTGGGACTCAGAATTGGAGTCCCGGATTTGAGGTCTCAGTGGTTGGGATTTTGGGGGCATCCCTCCACCCAACACGGCTTCTCTCCCCAGAGCTCAAGGTGAACACCACGCTCGAGGGGGGCATGCCCCCCTCCCCCCCCAAAAAAAAATAAAACTCACACTCATGGCAGCCTTTCACTAAATTTGCGAAAGAGACCCCTGGGGGAGTGGGTAGGGAGGGGGTAATTAATTACGGCGCAGTAACTCAATAGACGCGAGTATAATTCATCACAGCCCGTGCTGCAATCCATGGAGTCCTCGAGGCGGACAGGCAGGCAGCCAGCCGCGTGTTGCAGCGTCGCAATCTTTGTCCTCTTCTTGGTTCTTTCGGTAAAGTCACGTAGAAGGAAAGTAATAAAATAATAAAAATAAAACATAATAAAATCAAATAATTCTCACGACGTTTCGGCTACAACGCAAGCAGCCGTCTTCAGGTGAAGAATGTTTTATTTTTATTATTTTATTACTTCCCTTCTACGTGACTTTACCGAAAGAACCAAGAAGATGAATCCCTGCAGTCACGAAAGCTTTAAATCGAAATTTAATCTTTGTCCTGTTGCCTCAATTAACGTCGTTTCCACGCGAGTAGCGGGGCTGGTGGTGTGGGGGGGTGGAGATCCGCTATAGAACTTGCTCAATTTACTGCTCTGTGACTCAAATCTACTGCTGGATGACGACCACCACCATCACCAGCAGCCACGCGGTTGGCGGGTCGTGTGATGGTCGTAGGATTCGCCACGCTGGTCTCGGTCCATGCAACGTAGTGGGATGGTGTGGTGGGCCCGCATCACTCGCCGCCGATGTTAGCCGTGGTTCGGACTCTTAACTCTGAGGGCTGGGGTGGTCTCATCGTGCAAGACACCGCCACCAATGCACCACCGCTCCATGCATCTCTAATGAGTGTTTTTGAAGTTCTATTTTTAAGTTAAATATGTGTATACAGTACTGTAACTGTGTTGCAACATCACAGTATTGCATTTTACAGATTTGACTGCTGCCGCTCCTGAGACCCGGAAAGTCAAAAGGGGGTCTTAAGTTTTGTCTACTTTTAAACGAACGCAATCGTAGTTCATAAGTTCACTAGGGCGATGGACTCAAACGAGATGATCTCTTAGAATGCGGAGAGGGGGGGGGAGAAACTTCCCTTTGTTGGCTCGACAATTTACTTATTTATTTATAAACACACAAAAGGAACGCGAATATGCGGGAGGTCCAGCCAGACTCACGCGCACCCATTGTTCAGCTCGCCCCCATGTGTATTGTGGCAAAGCGTCAGACGTTTCGCCACCAAACCCAAAGACTTAGGTTCCCCGGGCGGTACAACGCTAATGGGTGGTGGTGGTGGTGAGGCGGGGGCAGTTAGAAGGGCATGGTGGAGGTGGGGGGAGATGATGGCGAACCACACAGCCAGTTGCATTTGCGAGATTAACTCACAATTTCACCTCGCCATTCTTGCTTAATAGCACTTGCCCCATAAGTCTGTTGAGGCTATACGGGGGGGGGATCTTTGTCTTGATGGTGGTCGTGAGAACGTGTCCAACCGTTGTTGTTACACACCGCACCAGGTAACCCATTTGAGGCCGAGTCTATCTAGGGCACGAGGCCCAGGACCGGTTCAGATAATTCGTCGCCGGTGTTGGCCGTGAGCGGGGAATCGAACTCGGGTCGCCGGGTTGCGTAGCGCTGACCGCTACTCCACCGCTTGCAGTCCACTCCCCCAACCTCCCCCTTCCATTCAGCAATGGAGACTCGAGAAACAAGGATTTGTCTACTCAAGAATTGTAAAATGTTTGTTGCCCAATGAATGATTGAGCCCTGAGTAACCTCCCCCCCTCTTCCATTGAGACTTTGCCCGGAGTAGGTCGGGACTGTGAACACATTTTAAAGTTTTGATTTAAAGCTTTCGTGACTGCAGGGATTCATCTTCTTGGTTCTTTCGGTAAAGTCACGTAGAAGGAAAATAATAAAATAATAAAAATAAAACATCATAAAATAATTCTCACGACGTTTCGGCCACAACGCAAGCAGCCGTCTTCAGGTGGAGAAGAGATCTGTCAGACTCTGCCTTCTCGACAGACCTGTTCTCCACCTGAAGACGGCTGCTTGCGTTGTGGCCGAAACGTCGTGAGAATTATTTTATTATGTTTTATTTTTATTATTTTCCTTCTACGTGACTTTACATTTTAAAGTGTTGATTACTACTTCCACCGAAGATGAAGAAGCGGCGACGACGACACTCAAAAAAGAAACTGCTGCTCTGGGCACGCTCGTCTTCAAATGTAGCGGAGGAATTTGAATCCACACTCGAATCCACCAAAAGTCCCCCTTCCATTCAGCAGGATGTCCATTGGGTAAACCACGACCAGGGGTTGGCAACCAAACTAACAAGAAGAGCCAAAAGATTATTATTTATCATCGAATTGGAGAATTATTTCGAGAGCAGCCGGCAATAAATAAATATCATTGATTCTGATTATTAAATACATGCCGTGTCAACGCATACAATTTACCCGTATTCTTGTACAGGGAAATCGAGTTTACATTTTTTTGTCTTTGTGTTTCTCCCTTGTGATGGAACTTTGTGTAGGATGAACGTTGAGATTTATAAGACAGACCTGGTCTTCACCTGAGGACGGCTGCTTGCGTTGTGGCCGAAACGTCGTGCGAATTATTTTATTATGCTTTATTTTATTATTTCCATTCTACGTGACTTTACCGAAAGAACCAAGAAGATGAATCCCTGCAGTCGCGAAAGCTTTAAATCGAAATTTGGGCACGAGGTGACCAATACGGTCTGAATTGGTCTGTAATGAGGTAGGAGGCACTGATAAGGGGTTTACAGCTATAAAACTAACGTCACGAAAATCAGTGGTTAAAGATCCGCCAAGCCCTGGGCTAGACTCATGAGGGGGAGTTCCTTCCATGTAGGGACTGTGTGAGTGCATGGATGACTTGTCCTCAACATCCTCCCACCACCACGGCAAACAAAGAATGTCACTTCTCGTCTCTTTACACCCAAAGAGGCCACCACAGAGCCGGCCTGCCTTCCATGGCTTAACCAGGGGGTGTGTGGTGAGGTGAGTAGTTGCCAATTACTCTTAGCCAGGGGCGTGTGGTGATTCCAGTCGTTGCCAAATACGTTACTCTTAACCATGGGGGTGTGACGAGTGATTACTTTCCAATAGCGTTACTCTTAGCCAGGAGCATGTGGTGGTGATTACAATAGTTACCAATTACGTTACTCTCTTAGCTGCTTCATTTTCTGAGTCGAGTTTATCGTTACAATAGTTAGCAGCGCTTCTCCCGTAGTACATTGACGTGGAAATCACATCGCCCACTTGTCAACGATGATGATCGTGAGCCATGATCAGTCCACTGCTGGATGAGGGCCCCTGTCAACGTTGCTTGGGTTTAGGGGCCGTCCATAAATGACGTCACGCACCTGGGGGGGGGGGGGTCAGACATTTGTGACGATGTGTGACAAGGTTTGAGAAATGTGACGTCACATCAAAATGCGCAACTTTAAATAAATAGACAACACGTTCTACTTAATGAAATAGACTTTTTAATAAATGTTTTCTCCAACAATATCAGAGTGCAGCGCCACATAAAATATGCACTACAATGACAAAAGTTTAAAGTTATTTGAAGCGTGTTTTATTTTTTGGGGGGGAGGGGCAGAGCTTTGTGACGTCATTTTTGAGGGGGGGGGGGGTCAAAAATCGTCCAAAATCGCGTGACGTCATTTATGGACGGCCCCATACGTTTC